GGTCTTTCGACCTATGCTGAAAATAACAAATGTGTATTAGAAATAATTCAATAAGCTATATAAATTCCATATAAATCGAACTTCGTGACCAAAGTTGGAAGTCCCACTATACTGCTCTATTTACGCTCGCTCGAACGTATCTAGATCGAAAAATGGCGCGAAGAAATGCGACACAGGTCTAACGTTGAGGAGCGCTCGCGCGGTACTGAGCTCAGACGGCCGCTGCATCTTATTTTGTAGTGATTTTGCGTTTACATTTATCGTATTTATTGAAATAATATAATAAATTTATGCTTTAAAATTATAATAACTTTGTTCCTTATGAAATAGTCATTAATCTGGCATAAATTTTGTTAAATAATATTGTTGTGGCTAAGAGAAATTCAAAGTTAACTTCAAGCAATTTTTGATGTTTTTTGGTTTGTAATATAATTGTTTTTCTATATTTAATCAGTGCTATTTCAAAATTTCGAGCTACTGTTTACTTTACGACTATATAAGAGATATCATTCTATTTCTTTTATTTCGTTTGTTAAGAACAGTAGCTCAATCCAGGACTTCAAAAAAGTGTCTTTGCGCATTTTATGAAAAACTTTCTCTGGTATTTTGGATTTAATTAAAAAGATGAGCAAAATTTCCAAAAAGTTGAGCCACTAATTTCTATACCAAGAGTTATTCTTCACTATTCAACAAGTTAAAATTGTTAATTTGTTTTTGTTTCCGAGAAAAATCACGCAGAAATCACAGTTGCGATGTAATATGGCTCTTAATGAGTTATCGGATAATTTTAAAAATCGATTAAAGTATTTTCATGATGATTTTAATTTTTGTGAGTAGGCTAGTGTGGCAAATATATACCTAATAGAAATTTTGTCTTGAAGTCAATTTAAAATTAAGTACCTACATAAGTAGGTACCTGCCCAATAAGATGCAACAGTATAAATTAAGAGCCATATTACATCGCAACTGTGATTTCTGCGTGATTTTTCTCGGAAACAAAAACAAATTAACAATTTTGACTTGTCGAATAGTGAAGAATAACTCTTGGTATAGAAATTAGTGGCTCAACTTTTTGGAAATTTTGCTCATCTTTTTAATTAAATCCAAAATACCAGAGAAAGTTTTTCATAAAATGCGCAAAGACACTTTTTTGAAGTCCTGGATTGAGCTACTGTTCTTAACAAACGAAATAAAAGAAATAGAATGATATCTCTTATATAGTCGTAAAGTAAACAGTAGCTCGAAATTTTGAAATAGCACTGATTAAATATAGAAAAACAATTATATTACAAACCAAAAAACATCAAAAATTGCTTGAAGTTAACTTTGAATTTCTCTTAGCCACAACAATATTATTTAACAAAATTTATGCCAGATTAATGACTATTTCATAAGGAACAAAGTTATCATAATTTTAAAGGATAAATTTATTATATTATTTCAATAAATACGATAAATGTAAACGCAAAATCACTACAAAATAAGATGCAGCGGCCGTCTGAGCTCAGTACCGCGCGAGCGCTCCTCAACGTTAGACCTGTGTCGCATTTCTTCGCGCCATTTTTCGATCTAGATACGTTCGAGCGAGCGTAAATAGAGCAGTATAGTGGGACTTCCAACTTTGGTCACGAAGTTCGATTTATATGGAATTTATATAGCTTATTGAATTATTTCTAATACACATTTGTTATTTTCAGCATAGGTCGAAAGACCCCTAGGTATATTTGTATAAGAAAGTTAAAATATATATTTATATTATGAAATGCAAATAAAGCAAGGTACTTCTTCTCTCAATACACTTATACTAGTACATAAAATTGGAGTGCATATTTGTAATATTAAAATAACCGCTTTTCACTAAATACATTTGTGTGTATACATGGTACATATACAAAAATAATATATTTTATCTGTCTGTCTGTTAGTTCTGGCTAATCTCTGAAACGGCTTGGCCGATTTTGAAGAGACTTTCACTAGAAGTTGATTTACGTAATGAGGATTAACTTAGACTTATGGCTCGATGCAATTCGACCGATATCAAATTTATCGGAGATCCGCATATGAAACAACTTTTTCTAAATTCAATATATTTTTAATCCCGGACGCAAAAACGACGCGGTGTTATAAGTTTGACATGTCTCTGTGTGTGTGTGTGTGGGTGTGTTTGTGTCTTTTTGTGGCATCATAGTTCCCGAACGGATGAACCCATTTTGATTTTGTTTAAAAGGTGTATTAGTCGGGAGTGTTCTTCACTTTGATGAAAATCGATACAAGATGGCCGCCGCCACAAAATGTCGAATCACATATTTTATCACCATTCCATCAATATGGGTATCAAATAAGAGGGCTTGAGTAGTAGAATACTGAACACTATGACAAATTTCAAATCCAAGATGGCCGCCACCAAAAATGTTGGATTACCTACATATTTTTCACGACTCCCTCAATACGGACATTAAATAAAAGGGCTTGAGTAGTAGAATACTGTTTACTATGACAAAATTTTATATACAAGATGGCCGCCGCCACAAAATGTTGGATTATCTATTTATTTATTTATTTATTTTGTACACACATACAATGTCATATGAACAAATGTAACAGACATTAGTACAAGGGCACTGCTTATTTCAAATTGAAATTTCTACCAGCAGGCCCAAAACAGGAAAAAGAAATACAATAAGGTAGTCAGTGTGTACCTCCTAAATAAATTAATATGGAATAAAAAAAAAATCAAATACCGGGAAAGAGAGAAAATAAAAATACATAACGGTTCAAACATTATATAAATAATAATATATATATCTATAATATATAAAGATTAATAATACCTACACTATTCAATATCAACAACAGGAAAGATAATGATCCTTTACTCTTTTTTTGACCACAGAAATAGTGCGACTGTCACGTATATCGGCAGGTAAAGAGTTCCAGAGTCTAGCAGCATGAACAGTGAAGGAATATGAAGCAAAATCCGTTTTGTGTGAAGGAGTTTCAAGTCTTAAGGTGGGATCTGCAAAGAGCATCAGGAGAACGGAGAACGGAGAAAGGAGAAACGCTCACGCAGATAGGAAGGATAGACGGGATTATACAGGATGTTGAACAGAAGACAGACAATCCTGACATATCTACGCTGACGAATGGGAAGCCACATGAGCTGCTTACGTAAATGTGACACATGATCATACTTACGAAGACCATAAATAAATCTAATCGCTAGATTTTGAAGTCGTTCAAGTTTGTTTAATAACTCCTCAGTGGCATCCAAGTAACATGCATCTGCATAGTCAAAAAGAGGTATAATTAAGGATTGTGCTAGTAACACTTTAGTTTTAAAAGGTAAAAAGTTTTGAAGGCATTTAAGTGTGTGAAATGAGAAGAAGGTCCTATGACTAACCTCAGATACATGGGCAGTCCATGATAGATTTGAATCCATTGTAATTCCAAGATTTTTTACAGTGTTTGTTAACTCGATCTGAGTCCCATCCAAAAGCAGGGGTGGTAAAGATAATGCAGAAATAGAATTAATATTAAACCTGCTACCTATCACAATGGCCTACCTTAACCTCCTCAATCGCAAATCAAACGAGCTATCCGGCACCATCGAGCTTTTCATTTGTTTATATACGGATATTGCCGTATTTTTTTGTAAAATTCAATATATTTCTATGATATGGTAAGTATGAGCAAATGAATCGTTCCTCGATATTATTGAACAGAAAATCAAAAACAGATCGAGCGTTCTACCGCCTTCATACATTTGAAGCGATACCGCAGACCATGAGATTTGTGACCGATATTGACAGATAGTACAATCTCATGAGCAAACACTTGAGTTTTTCCATACATTTTATAAGTGCATGCGATTTGTGTGATATCGTTCATTCATATCGAATAACATCGCATCTAGCCATGAGAAAAGAACCTTAGGTTACTTTCCATTCGCATAAAGCCGCGGGCACAACTAGTTTAATATAATTCTAATTTACTACTTTTCCAAACAGGAAACAGTCCATGTTTCCTATGGATGACGAAAATATTTTGAAATCGTCGACGAAAAATATGGCACGCATATTTTTTAATTAATATTTATAATTTTATTGATATATTGTCATCGCTATTTATATTTATAGCCTATGATTTGGCTAAACTTGTTTCTTTTAATTTTTGTCCGATCTTAGCAGTCGTGTTTTTAATTTTTAAATAATTTTTATATTTTATTCACTTTAGTGAGCAGTTAATTTTGTATACAGATTATGTATTTTTAATGGACCTTTAATTTGATACCCATAAAGTTATGATTATAAAAAAACATACTTTTATAAATGGCGTCACACGTCCCCATACCTATTTAATATTAATAATTAAGCTAGTTTCACTGATACTCTATGTATTTTGTGGTTACTTAGGATGATGTTTCTAATGATACCCTGTACATTCATATCCGTTATATCTTTCAAAAGTTATGGTGCAATAAAAATACTCACATACATACATTAATTCTAAAAACAATAGACTCCTTTTCGAGAGCAGTCGTTTAAAATATTCGGGAATCGATAATGAATCTCACCATAGAAATACTAAAATAAATACAAAAATTGGGAAAAGTATCAAAATAGCTTGAACGTGGTTTCAACACAGTATTGTGGACTCGTGACCTTGAACAAGTTCTCGAGAACTCAAATCACAGAGTGAAAATTTGTCATATGGCTCTTAAAACTACACCATTAAAAAAGACACAAAAACAACACAATCAACATATGACTAATGAAATATAAATGTAAAACCGATATTTAACCGAGTAATATATAATTATTTTGGTAATGGAATGATTTTTGTAAATGTTAGAGTCGGTGCATATCTTCTTCTTTCTTACTAGCCAAAAGACAAGTTACAATCTACCCAATAAAAACTTTCGCGGGCCCTGATATTATCAGCTTGTTTAATACTGTACTTATATACTAATAAGATAAGATAATTATGTCCGTCAACATGCTGATTATAATCGAATGGGCATTTAATAAGTAAAGATTTTTATCCATGTTGACATATGAACGTGCACAAAGTGTTTCAAAAAATGCAATTAAAGTTTGCATTATTCGTGTTTTGTTTTATTATTAGACATTCACTTGGTAAGTACACATTTTCCAGTACTATTGCAAAATCTTGCCGCTAATACAAGCACTCCTAGCAATATGAAATGTTTTATGTTCCAATCCAAATGAGTAATATTTTTTTTTCTTTCTCTAAATACATTATTCCAAGATAGAAAATTAATCTTATTATCTCAAAGAATATAGGTGTACAAAATTGTGTGTATCACAGTTTACAGACAATTCGATTTTGAGCCTAGAATCCATCAGAATTTGATGAAATCCAAATTTATTTATTTCTAGTCTTTCTCATTATTTCTTTAAGTTGTCACTCGTTTGTTACACGTTGTTTTATTTGTTTATTTAATTTTCTAAAGATTTTTCTCCAATAATTCGACTAACTAAATCAGTATTTTTTACTAGTTATGGTTTTTACAACTAAATGCTTGAGTGCGTAATGCTGAAGCATAAACGAGACAAAATCGCATATTGTTATGATTGAATATCAAATAATTAAATTAAATATCGTCAAAGTTTTCAGTTTTTGATCATTCTTTTCATGGACAATTATAATAGACAATTCTTTTTAGATTTCTTAAACTACGAAGATCTAACACTTAGATATAGAATTAAATTATGTACTTTCTTATTTTTAATTATATTTTATTTGAACTTTTAATGTCTTATTTATAATAGCATAGGTTAATGTATGATATTTTTGTTTATACAGGTTTGAGATGTTACTCCTGTTCTTTTTCGACAACGGAGTCAGATCGGTCTTGTCTAACGGTGACAAACAGCACGCCGACCGTAGAATGTTCTTATCGGTTTTGCACCATCAGGAGAATAGAATTCTTGGTAAGGATTCATTGAAAGTGTATCTTTTATTCGGTCTAGGCTGTTAATAAACACCTGTTAAAATTGAAACACGACTCCACTAGCTCGTATCTCTATAACAGAAACATGTACTGAGTGAAAAGAACAAGAAAACTCTTTCTTTTACTTAATGGCTCAACTGCGCTTTTCGTTAAATTCTGCCATTTTAAAGTTGAATATTAGGTATATATTATATTGTTCCAGCCTTTTCAGTTAGTTGTTTTTCACGCAGGCGGGTTATTTGTTTTATTTTTGTTTATTGCATATTATCAATGACAATATTCATAGGATCCTGCTGGGGTGGTGTCTAGCTTTAGACGAGGTTGCGATGAACAGCCAGACTACTTAAATCATGATATTACTGACACTACATACCGTACGTTCTACAGGGCTTGTACCACGGACCTTTGTAATATCGGTAAGTTATTATTATCAAGCTATTACTGTCCCCAAAGTGTCAAAACCTGTTTTTTAATTGTTTTGTCCCGATTTCCCCGAAAGTAAGAAAATTTTGTTGAACGCATACTGAGAAATAGGGAAAGGCGACTGAATAAGCTATAATGGGAATATAATTATTTTGTTTCTCTGAATATTACTTTTGACATGAGGTGTTACCTTCCCTACATTGGCAAAAAAATACTTATTGATAAATTGAGTTTGTGTTGTTTTGTTTGTAATCGACCGATTTTAAAAATTCTTTTACCTACGGGAAGAAACATTATACGTGGGTGACATAGGTTATAATTTATGCGAACGAAGTCACAGGAAAACATTTAGTAACTAACATTTAAAATAATGTCAGCTTAATCCGTTCAGTAGTTTGTAGTAGTAGGTACTACACCTATGACATAATAATAAACTTATTTAAGCATATTCGTCGTAGTTTGAGTTGTGTCGATAAATCAGTCAATGTCGGTCCGTTCGTTAATCAGTCAGTCTCAGATGTCTGATCTTATCGCACTATGCCAGAAAGGTAGGATCGAGAAATCATCCCCCGTTTTCTTAAAAAAACCCCGTTTTGATTCAGGGAAAAAATTGTCACGTTAGCCAAAACCCATCATGCGCGTCCGTGCTTTTGGTGATAGTTATAGACCTCCGATGCAACCTTACCAACGGCTTGTCCCACTTTTGAAGAATGGAAAAGCTCGAAATAATAAATTTTTCGTCTTATACATGCTAACTAGAGTAAAATTTGTTTTTCGGAGCGGAGTAAGAGGTAATTTGATTCATGAAATTTTTCAGTTATCACTTTTAGGGACTGTGACCGCACCGCGATTTTAGTTCGCGCTAATTTATTATCGCAATTCAACATATTGAAACACGTGGGAAAAGAAACGCGCATTTAATCTGAGGAAAACTACAAATTTTCACGGATTTATTGCCGCGTTAAATTTTTGTACAGTAATATGGATTTGGTGATATCAGATAAATTTGAATTGTTCTGTAGTTCATTTTAAGATGTTTATATCGGCTGGAAGCTACATATATATGACAAAAATCGCGCAGAATTTTAATCGCATAGCTAGCGCTAGGTTTAATTTCATTGCGAAATAAAATCCACGCGAATAAAACTCGCACGATAAAAGATCGCGATGCGGATAGTCCCTTAATGTATATTTATTTATTGAACTTTATTGACCAATAAAGATGTTACAAAAGGCGCACTTAATGCTAATAGCATTCTCTGCCAGTCAACCTTTGGGAAAACAGACAAACAGTATATATCATGGTCATGGATTATGGTAGAACCCTATTTGTTTGTAGGTAATGGCGTTCAAACTGTGGGTGGACAATCTTTATCTGCAGTTCCACCAACGTCTGGGAAAAATTTGTTGGTTCCTGGAACTGGCAGTAGAGGAAGTGATTTCAAAATATCAGTCAGTCTCTTTTCTTTAATAATCCTAGGTTATTTATTTAAATAACATCTGACATGAAGTATTTGTATTATCTGATATACTTATTAATAATATCTCGAAGCCCACGTTAAAGTAATAGTCTAAATTTGCTCAACCCGCAGACCAAGTTTACGCGGAAGACTTGCAGTACCTATAGTTATTACCTATTAATCATATAAAATATACATTTTTATCTATTTCGACGTTTTACTTAACAAAGTAAATAAATAACATTACATTTTCATAATAAACTATGATAAATAAGCAATGATTTCATTGCTTATTCAATTCAAAAGCAAAATGTTTGTAGTAGGTCTACTTACTTAAAATAAGTAACTAAAAAAACCTTATTTAAAGTACTTTTAAACGTTCCCAATTATTTTTTTCTCGTAGACCATTTTAAAAAATTTACTGGTTTCGGTGGACTCCTGGTGCTACATTTTACCATATTCCTAAATTTCGTCCAATATGTGAAGATCTAACGACAACTTGTGAACCCCTATTTTTATTTCACGCCAACGTAGGCCCCCGTTGAATCTCTTGTGAACCCCTGGGGGTCCACCTGGACCACCTAGGGAATCACTGGTTTAGAAGGAACAAAAGTTAATTTAGGTACCTACACCTACAAAAATTTCATAAGTAAATTCAGTAAACATATTTTCTTTTTTTTTAGTTTTATTTATTAGTTCTTTGGTGTTTGACATACCTACTTAATACTGGGCATAAAAATTTTACTTCCGGCAATGAATTAATCATATAAAAATTGTGTCGAACAAAATTTTTCACAATTTCTTTATAACTTTTAAATAGATCATAAAAATATTTTGAAGTTTTCTTAATAAATGACTACTAGCTTTTGGACTATAAATAAAATATATAAGCATGTTGTATTGTACGTCAGGTCACAAAAAATGTCAAACTCCTGAAATTAATTTTGAACTTAAAAGCTAATATATTAAAATGTTAAAATCGACTAGAAAAATCGGCCACTTGTAAAAACTGATATGCTGTTAAGTTTACTTTGTATGTATTTGGTTGTCGTGGTAACGTGAGTAATGCAAAGCAACATCTATAACATTCGAAAAATGTATTTTGTTGTATCGATCTCTAAAACCTTGTTAAGGTTTATTCGGTGACTTTAAAGATAAAATCTAATGAAGTAATAAGATAGGCCGAATGATAATACAATATTCGTTAACACATCTATAAATAGAAAAATGGTGGTTGACAGATAACTTGCTTCAAAACGTCATATCAAAGACGTAGCAGGTACTCTAGGTTATGTTGTCTATATTTAAATAAAAATGTAATTAATAACTTAAATCAGTTGTTTTTGATACTTAAAATTAAACATGACAACATCACCCACTAAAACCAAACAAAAGTTGTCTCTACGGAAACGCCTGTTCGTCAAAAAATCACCAAAAGTGGGATGCTATGTTGATACTGATTCTAATGATGAGTTCAGCCAGTCTACGTCCAGACCTATTTCTCCAGCGGATCCATTCATAGCTCACAGTGCTCAAAATACTAACGTGAGTCTAGAAAACATCGATACTCATCGCATTTCACCTACTGAGCCTCACAGTAACAATTCTAGTCAAAAAATTATTCATGTGCACAATGAGGACGATGTTAATCCGAAGTGCTGTCGAACCTTCTTCAGAAGGTCCCGTCCAAAGAGCCTCGTCGAAGGACCTCCGTCCAGAGATGAACCTGCCTCGAAGCCATGTAGTCCACTTAACAACTCTAGCAACAGTGTCAGTGAACATACTATCTCGTGCAGTCAGTCTAAATCAGAAGAATTACCTAAAGCTACTGTCAAGTTCCCCAAGGATGATTCCAAAAAGTGTTTTGAACATTCAGGATCATTTGAAGGGATAAAGACCAAGAATAAATTGTTTGTTAAAAGATTATCTGCAGATCATCTCATCTCTAATGAATCTAAACCACTATATCGTTCCTCTTCACCCGAAAGTGATAGAAGTAGTTCATTGGATAGAAAAAGAAGGTATGTTAAAACTTTTTAATATCTTATTTTAATATCAACTTTAAGTAATGTACTAAAATCAATTAATTTTTTTTTTTATATAAGAACTAAGTCAACTATCACAAGACCTGTTTCACGTGCTGGAAGTACAGATAGTCTGGCCCGAAATTCACTTCTTGCTGCACAAGTTCTACGCCTGATACCTACACAAGAAGCCCGGGAAAGGTATAGGATTTGATTTCAAAATGACTCCAAATGATTAAACATGAGATTCATACTTAATAGTCAATAAAAATTCACTATCTTATATGATAATCAGATGTTACAGTATTTCAATTACCAAGATAATGCAAATTAAAAACCAGTTGTTGAAAAAATATTGATAATAAATGGATTGTTTCTGTTTTTATTTTCAGAAATTATTTATATGGAAGACTTGCTTCCCATTCTTTATTAGGAGCTGCAGAATTAGAACATGTTTTTCCAGATAGAGAAGTAAAGATATTTGTTGGTACATGGAATATGAATGGTCAAGCACCACCAAGGTAATAGGATTATCTATATTTTTTAATTAGGATTTTAAATTAAAGTCTTAACATGTCTTCTGAAGATGTTTCATAGTTTCAGTATCTACTTAATCTAACTAATAAATTAATAATTACTTACTAATTTGTAGCATTGGCAGATTTCATAACACTGAATATGATATGTAAATATTTTATTTAATAGCCTAAAGTCTAATTTTGATTCTAAAGTCATAGACATTTTTAAATTATATTTAAACATATCCAAAATGTGGCAATTTAATGAATAATTTACTGGTGAGAGTTAAATTAAAAGGCACATATAAATTCAAAGAGAGATGTTCACACAACAACCAATCAGTAAAAGTTTACACACTCAATTTTAAACTTTACTACTAATGGATTAAGAGTGAAAATCAATTAAAAAAATATATAGTTTTGTATAGCCTAACATGTTTCTAAACTTGCCTTAAATTTAACATTTATTTTTTATAGGGAACTAGCAGATTTCATATTTCCAAAGCAAGTAAAACATGTACCAGACATTTTTGCTATTGGCACACAAGAATCATTCTCTGAACGTACAGAATGGGAAATAACAATCCAAGAAGTATTGGGCCCATCACATTTATTATTGCACTCATACTATCTAGGTAAATATTTTTAAGTTCACATTGCACAAATTCATAATTTATCACTAGCAAGTTTTATTAAATCAATAATTATGTTTTTATTGAAGGAGATAATGCTTAACTCTTGGAATAATAGAATTCCTCTTATCTTACATATTTGTAAACACTTAAACTTTCAGTATTTTCATTAGTCTTCTAATTATCAAAAATTATAAGTTCCCATTAAAGGGATAAGTAGGGCATAATGTTTTGCTTCTTACTAGGTTATGGCGACTAATCTGTGACATTGGTTATATATTTTAATCCTCCTTGAAGTTTTAGATGTGCATATTATTGCAATATTTTGTTTGTTCTTTTTTAGGAATACCTATAAACAAATATCATAAACAATTAATAAGAGTCTGCATCCTTAATCTATATGTTATACAGTGTTTTTAATAAACAAAGCTTAGTGTTAAATTTACACTGAGACTGCACTTAGTATTAGTTAAAATTCAGGGTATGTTCCAATATACACTGCGAGCACTGCGCAGTGGTCTTACTGCTGAAAAATCCGTTCTGTTATGGACTGCCAGTACACTGCTACAGTACCCTAGGGAAATTTATGACGTCATAAATTGCCGCCATATTTGTACTGTGAGCACTGGAGATTTCGAGGTAAGGTGCTCGCAGTGCTTTTGATCACGTGATCAGTCGAAACAGAATCAGAAAATGATAAGTTTCTAAATAAACAAAAAAAAAATACTTACGTTTATTATAAGATGGATTTAATTGATAAATATTTTTTTTATACACAATTTTATAATATTTTCTTTTGAAAAGAGGGAATCTTTATATTTATATTCACCTTGCATTAACAAATTTGAAAATAGCGCCAGAAAATAGGATCAAAAGTATACTGGACTGCGTTTCGTTTTAAAAAGTCACCAGTATAACTAGCTATAAAGGAACGGGCTTCCAGTATACTAAATTGACGTCATACTGTTCATTAGTCGCAGTGTATATCGGAACATACCCTCAGATTATTAATCAGACTTAGCAATGGTTAACCTTGAATGGGGTTCTACAGGAGTAATATTTACTCCTAGATGGCACTAGGTTTGCTTATTCGTTGTATAATATAAATTTGGACTAAATCTTAAATTGCAATTTTAGCATAAATTTACTCTGAAAATTAACATTTATAGCACTGTAGAAATTTATAAGTAATTTTCTGTGAAGCTTGATGAAACCAATATTGCTTTCAAACTTTAACACAAGTGTTAATTATTATATTTTATAATTTTTCCATTCACAATGTTAAAGTGATAATAATAATATAATAAATGATATTTTATATCTTTGGGAGAGGCCTATGCCCAGCAGTGGGCGTCTCTCGGCTGAAGTGATGATGATGATGATGAAATGATATTTCTTTCACAGACTATATATTAATGTCAAATATATTATTAATTAAAATACCAACAGGATATCTTATTAAAGAATAAAATTAATACTTAATTAAAATTAATATGGGTAGTTAGTTTACTTTTCATTTTCTGTCTTGTCATTGTGCAGGCTACATTGCTCAATAAATGTAATCAATAACTCAATCATGTATAACTCAATAATATTATGTGAATTATAATCTCACATATACAGACACAGTGCTATGTAAATGGAAGAGCGGGATCTCCGAATACAAGCAAAGATTTGCTTAAAAGGAGTCTCCAAAACCTTTATGTATATGATATTGTCTAGATGATGAAATAAACATTTTTCATTTTCATTTTTTTCATTTTCAATCAATAACTTAATTTTGTGTTTTATGGACATAATACAAACTAAACCTAAGTACATACAGTAACAAAAATCCTATTGTACAGTTTGTTAGAGACTGGTGCCTCACAGTTTTGAATAAACATGACCTAGCTCTCATCCCAAAGATATGTTTAACTTACATTATGCAGGGTTATTAGAGTTCATTAAAGATGAAAGATTAATAAGAATCGCACTTTTCAGATCAATTAAGTTTATGTTATGGTTTGTAATTTTGTTTTTCAGGAACAATTCATCTAACATTATTTGTACGAAGAGACTTGATATGGTACTGTTCTTTACCTGAAGATGCCAGTTTGTCAGTGCGACCTGGTACTGCATTCCGGACTAAAGGAGCTGTGGCTATATCATTTGCACTGTTTGGCTCAACATTTTTATTTGTCACTGCACATTTGACAGCCCATCAGGAGAAAGTTAAAGAAAGAGTTTCTGACATAAAGCGAATAATACGATCCATTGATTTACCAAAGAATTTGCCATGCAGACACAGAAGTAAAGGTAGGTTTAGAAAAATTGATAAATTTATGTTAGTCAAAATTTGTACTTTTTTGTTTGTATCCATTTTGTTTAAGTTGTCAAAGGCAATGGCAAAAATTTATATTCAAATAGTTTTGAATCGTCCAACCCTTTTATCTTTTTGCTGATAACAAGAATGAGCCAAAGAAACTCAACAGCTCTGACAGAAGTAAGACATGTCATTTAGCAACTACTGCTTAAAGTCCACTAGGCAGTAATCTAACACCTATGAAGAAGTTTTTGTCTAGAGATTCTTTGTTGCCCTCGACAATACGAATGTAGGGTATATAGAAATAAATTAGTTTAGAATACCTATGCTATCTATTAGCTGTATAAATAAAGTGTAATACGTAAGGTAAGAGACAACATTGCTGAGATTGCTGACAGAAAACCATTTTCAGATGTAACAAGTAATTTTGACTACGTTTTTTGGTGTGGAGATTTAAACTTCAGACTGGGTGAACCCAGAGCTGCTGTACTACGCTGGATTGAACAAACTGAGGTGACTTTGACTTATGTGACCTTTGACCTTCCTGTGAACAATAAATGCGATTATTACATTAACATTAGCAGAATTGACCTGCTGTTACCATAGCATGGGAATTATAACTGTCCCAGTAGTCCAGGTGTCTATTAAGAGTTAAAATAGTGTGCGACAGAGATAACGCTCTACGACGTCTTTACAATATTTGATGATTACATGTTACAAAATTTCTAAAAAAATAACACGTTTAATTACTGATTGTCTTTCTATAGTCGTTTATATTATAATATTAACGCATTGCCACATTTTCTCCAGTTTCCTTTACCACCACACTTGCCGCACGGTCTTCTACACGCGGACCAGCTCACCGCTGTTCTAGAAGACGGTGCTGCCTTTAGAGATTTCAGAGAAGCTCCCATAACATTCCCACCAACATACAAGGTAAGTGTTCATAATACCATAGTAGAATCATAGTACAAACATTTACCTTAAATATAGATTATTTCTAATAGAAATGAACTCAATAATATCGAGTTTTTGTTATATATTTTTTTATTAAGACATCACTAAAGACTTCAAATCCCGTGCTCTTTGACAAAGACTAAATGTTACTGGTTTAAAGAATCTGACAATATCATTTTGTTTATCAGTACGATCCTGGCAGTCAACAATTCGACACGTCCAGTAAACAACGTGCACCAGCGTACACTGATCGGATACTGTTCAAAGCTAAAGCTTCTAACAACAACACGTCTTCCGCCTTTGCAGGTTGCTCAGTTGTTTCTATTGAAACTGTGCTATGAATATTATCAATAAACTGGTACTGTATGCTAAGGCAATAAGGCCCACGGGTGTAATAAAGCCCTCCGGTGAAAATACACGTCTATTTCAGTTCAAACTTTACTCACACGTGCATATGACTGTGTAAGCACAATTTGATCAGAAAAATAAGTATTCATAATGAAAAATGCTTATAAAATCCACTTTGTCCCTGGCACTCTGAGATAGGACTCGACCTGACCTGGGGTTTTTTAAGCAAAATTAATCAAATATAACAAAGGAATAGGAGTATTTTAATCAATTATTAGAGATTAATATCTATTTTAATTTTATAAAGAGGCAAAGTTCCAACGTTGTTTATTTTTTTGTTTGTAGGGGTATTCTATGGAGATACTGATCCTATCATGAAAATTATTTCACCTACAGCAAGCTATGTTAGACGTGGGTGACGTGGACTACAATGTCGAAGTCGCGGATTTTTTTTTTCATTAATAGTTAGACGGCATTAACTTCTCACGATCGATTAATATCTAATAAAGTGACCATTGAGTTAATTATTCCTTAGGGCTCCGTCGTATCAGTTCAGTGCAGACTACCTCCGGCCTCCAGTGCCTCGCTTACAACTCTGTGCAATCTATATGTACGAGTGATCACAAACCTGTATGGGGATTATTCTCCGCTGCATTAAGGCCAGGCACTGACGTGTACGTATATTATTTTTTCATCTGTACAAATAAATAAAATTGAAGTGCCTGTAATATTAAAAGGACCGCTTTTCACTAAATCCATATGTGCACGGTACGTATACAATAATATTTTTTTTTACATTTTTGTCTGTCTGTGTGTAGGATTGTTCCAGCTAATCTCTGAAACGGCTGGTTCGATTTTGACGGGATTTTCACTGGCTTATGAAATAAGGGGTAACTTAACCTACTTTCCAAGCGGACGAAGTCGCGGGCACAGCTAGTTAATAAATAAAAAGAATATACACAACAATAAAAATAAAAAAATTCTAAATGTCACTTGAACTCAGCTAAATCATGAATCAATATTTTGTAAACATCTAATATATTTATTTATTTTATTGCATTCCACAATGTTGTATTAAGATGTTCATAAAAATAAAAGTATAATTATGGACCCCGTCGGGCACAGCAAATTTTAGAGAGAGTGGAGTGATACTGTAAGAGCTTCGAATTTGCAAATATTTTTCTATAAAATATTTAACAAATAAATAACTGGAATCGAACTCGGGACATCAGAGATGGCGACACCTCGAAACTGGCGTGAAGCACAATATTGATATAAATAACTTACCTTTCAGCGTACCTTTAGCAGCTGGATTGTTTAACCGCGAGGTATACTTAGAAGGAATAAAACGCCGTCGAGCGCTGCTCGATCATGCGCCAGGTACTTCAGCCGTATGTAACGTACAATAACATTAGTTTTCTTTATATTTCTCGTTAAACATTTTCCTGATGATATTTAGACCCAAATTTGAGTGTTATTCGTATACAAATTTCTAACGGGAAGTTTAATTGGGCTTTGTCAAATAAAACTCATCGATATAACTAACTATTTTTCACAGGATAAGATGCCTTGTGTACTATGACTTAAGGCATATTATTTGCTTAACAGTTTTTAACCAAAGATTTTTATGTTACAAATTTAAAGTTTTTATTTTTATTACATAACCAAAGTTTTTATTCTGTTACTGATATACTGTTTATTTTTATTATTTAGTAAAATTTGTTTTTATTATATACTGTTGGGCAAAATGTGGTCACGTTTGAGTTTTGTTTGCAGGTTTTTTTTTCTTGCAGCAATATTATAACTGACTGTTACTTTAAATGACATACATCTCAGACAACAGATATCTCATAATTGAGTATCTAAAGCATTGTTAATTAAAAATCAATTAGATCTAACAGAAACCTGCTAGACCACTTTGTTGTCGACCGTACAAGTACTTTAAGTACAACCGAAGTAATTATTAGATAATAACGATATTGTTTTAAGCTTATGATTGTTTTTTTTATATGTTTATTTATTTATATGTTAGTAAGTAATTAGTTGCTCGAAACCAAAGGATGTATTGTACATACTAGTTTAGTGCTCATACATTTTCCTATTGGAAAAAATGTGATGATAAAAAGACGAAGTCATATTGCTGTGCAATTTATTTATGTTTATTTAAAATGAAAAAAATAATGTTTCAAATATTTTTATTCAATTTTTTTTATATAATTTAGAGGCTAATTTAATTTTAAATGTTTTGTCACATGAATTTTTAACCTAATTTACTTAGGTTGCTATCAAAAATTATTGTTTTTTTTTTAATATTCCTGACTTTGTCATATTAAATAAAATAAATATTGATATTAATACAAAATACTGTGGTATAGCTATTTATTTAAATGGATAGTATAAAAATATTGATGTCTTATGCTATATTATAAAGGTCGCCACAAATCAGATGGAAGATCCATTGAGCGTATCAACGGAAGTGCTACTCATAAGAATTAACATGATTCCGGCCAAAAATGACGTACAATGTGCAAAAAAAAGTTGTAATTTCGACCTCAATAATATATTTTATATGTAAAAGAAAATTAAGAAATCTACTCAATAGTCAACAATAAAAAGTCCAAACATTACTGAAACCTGATAAAAATGATACCAAAAGCAAGAAAGTAACGCAAATAATCGGAATCTGAAAGACCCAACAGTTCTGCTATCGCTACTGAGCACGCATGGCAACGCTGTGCGGGGTAGCGCGGGAATATTGAGTCATGAACCAGGTGTCATGTTAATTCATATGAGCAGTATGCTTGACGAACTGACAGATCGTCGATTGATTGTGCAATCATATTATATGAAATATGACCTTGCACTGTGGTCATATTTCATATAATATTATATTTTGTCACTGCTGACGCTACTCAGCTGATGAGTATTATTGTTATAAAACGATTCTATTTTATTGCATAATTAGTATTTCTTCTGGTCAACAAGGACATCTAAACTGTCAGGTGTAATTTGAAACTAATCTAAATGTGAATAAAGTGGAAAATATAATTTTCTAAATTTTTTTTCTTACAAAGAAGAGTGAGAAATAAATTTGGTTTCTAATAACTTGCCTGTAACCGTTTAATTTTTTTAATTATACATATCTTTATTTGTAATTCAAAAGTAACTAAGTTTCAAAGAAAAAAAACAAACATTGTATAACATTGTTTTATAATTCCTATTAAAGGTCTTAAGAGTTCGCATAAAGAAAAAGCGAAATAGAGTTGGAAAGATGAAAATGGAAGGAAAAGCATTTTTTTTTTAATTACTGTATGTACCTATTACGATTATTGTAAAATCAATTAATATCAGACCTTAGGTACAAAGTCACTTCAAAGTTTTATCCACACAAAGAAAAGTATATAATGCGAATGAGTCAAACAATATCATGATATCACATTGAAAATATGTTTTTGTATAATATAAATATCAATTTAAATTTATTAATTAGTTATTTTAATTATTATTATTAGAGTAAATTCCATAAATCACATTTTTAATTACAATGTGTATCATTTTCGTTTATTGTTTACGGTAAATATGTTTTTATGCTTTATGCGCCCTCTTAAGTACATAAACCATGTGAAGCCCGATAACAATTAAAATGAGGGTACTACTTTATGACTTCTAGTAGTAACATTTATTTCTATGGAAATATGTCAGACTAGTCAGCTAAACAAGAGCTTTTAAATGTACTATATAGTGTTAAATGTAAATTATCTGTGTACCTACATATTTTCTGCCTTAAAGCTGTTAAATTAGCCGTCTCGTGAAATGTTATAAACATTTCCTAATCAATTAGGTGCTGTGATTTAGAAATGATTCTAGTCGTGAAATTAATTCCAGTGCTATTTAACAACTAAGGAAATTATACTTTTTTCAAATAACACATCTGTATAAAAGAATTTCTGATGAAACCTCTCTAAATATTTGATTTTAATCCAAAATATATCCAACGTAAGTTTAGAAAACGGTATAGGATAGTACCGTCTAATAAGGCCCATTAATGTTGAAAACCTAGGTATTTCTGGTAATACTAACGTGATTATGGTCAATACCAATGGCATTATATTGTTTTAAATTTCCATAGCTTCCACCCGATAGGGTGTAGATGCAAACTGATGAAAATACGCGATGAATTCATACTCCAGTGGGCAGAAAGAGGGGGCATTATGCTAAATATACAAATTTAGTACAATACAGTGTACAGTATAATAACATTAGAAAAAAACATTGTTATTGTTCCATTAATAATAGTAGTTATACTATCAAAATACATTACAGTTACAGTGCTGCAGGCAACCAAGCAGTAAGAACATAGATCTGAAATTCAATATTGTTGTAGCTGTTTATAAATAAATAAACTACTAAATTAAAATATGTACTCTGACTTTGATAACGATGGGCCTTATTAGGCGCCACCTTATATAAGACACTTTCAAGCGATTTTATTGATGACAAGCTTTTATAGCCATTTATTAATAGAGGTTTTATCATATAATAATTCGTTGCACACCTTACGTGCAGGTTGACGGTAATCAGAAAAGTGCAATAAAGAAAAATTTTAAGCTGTAAATAGACAAGAATTCGGTTATCTAAAACTATAGTAATCACCGCTTTGCTTATATATATTTGGAAAAAAATTGAAATACTATTTTTAGGAGTATTGATAGAACCAATAAAATTATTTTGACTTAAAATACTTCATGTACTGTTCTAGTTAACTATGACCTTATATTTTCTAGACATTCTAAATTGTGAAAACCAGAAAACAACTGCCACCAATTAGATGTATATTATATATTCTCTTATGTATAATAATTGTGAAAGAAAGTTGAAGCTGTGAAATGTTGAGAGACCTATGTCATTGTTATGCTGTTACTTAATATCTACCTGTCTGATTGGTCCAACCGACTGTCAATTAAAGACCAATCAAAACTGTTTAGATATTGTTGTGTGACATAGTATTTCGGTAGACTAATGTGATGATAAGAACTCCACTTTAAATCAGCTAGGGTGGGAATAGATTTTATAACAATCGCATTTGGAATAAATGTAATTTCATATGATAATCATAAAATAAGAGCAATAGCATATAGTTCAGTAGATATATGTATGAGTGCATTTGCAGAGTACTTATAATCAAGAAAACATATATTTCTTACTATCCCATTGATTTCCCACTGCTGGGGTCATATGTCTCTCTTTAGGTGTATCACAAGTACACAGAGTATCTGCTCTAATAACTTGGAACTTTGAATAAGTAAACAGCACGCGTAACATGATGAACTCGAAAAAAAGACGAGAGCGAGAAATAGTATGAGATATTGTGTTGGCATATCTCAATCTCGATCTGTTTCTCGAGTCTATTGAGTTCTTCATGCTATGCAGGCTGGTTGCTCACATTTTTTTATCGATTTTAATATCGAACCGGCTAATAAGTAGTGCTCATGTTTGAAATTTGTGATAATCTACTTTAAATCCAAGCACTGATTCTCATAGACATATGCACTCAGCAGCACAAAATGTATTTTTTTTTTCAATTAATATTCAACTCTACTGTCAATATTCGAAAGTTGATAGTGAAGTGACTGACGTACGTTTAAGAGAGACGTGATGATGAAAATATTCCAAAATCGCGATTAAAAAAGATGATTACTCGTGGCTGTAATTTATGGAATTTATATTCTATATAGATCTAGGTCGTTACCACTCTAGTTGGCTGTGGAATGTTTTAATAGTGTGATAAAGAAAATAAGTTGTTTTTAGGTAAAAAAAAATTGAAAATGTTTAATTTTGCTTGACCTTATTAATGAAAAACCTATTCCGCTAGTTTATTGATAATTCTTATATGTTAAATTAATAACCGCCGATACAGTCACGTGAAAAATATGTAATCAAGCAACCGCGTAAAATAAAAACGTATTTTATAACTTTGCACCAAGAATGATTTATGAGTCATCCAATTATCTAATGATTGTATTATCTCGTACGATAAAAATAACCGTGAAATAGTTTCTTTCTTTTCTTTTTCCTTCACACCTCGCAAATGAACGAATGTCATGTCAATGTCAATGAATGTGCTTCATGCTTTCAAACAATTCTAAAATATTTTACTCTCAACCTTTGACGCCTTCCATTAATTTGTGTTTAACTTAATCCATGGTATGCTTACGTGTCAGTTGCAGATCTCTGATTTGCTCTGACACTGGCATCCAGAATTTTGATTTGCCCTCTTCACATTCGCAGAACTCTGACTTACCCCATAAGTAGTTAAGAAAGCCTGATTAAACTGTTATGTGAACTGTATGAACTTCTTTTATCATTTTAAATCGCGCTTAATGTTGTCCTAGGATGAAATCACATCGTTTGCTCGTACATTCATAGCCAATTAGGACAATGGGTAAATGGTAAAAGAAATCCATATTTTTAAATTTAGTTCTGCCTAATGTAGAACAGTATTCACCAGGAGGAACAAATCAATCTGTCTTCCATAAATCTATGATTCATAAAATAGTATTTTACTATTAAAAAAGGAAACTATTCTAGTCTACTGTAAGTATTACGTAAATTACTATGAATTTTTATTCACATATAAAGCGACATATACTGAAATTCCAATCTACCATCTGTATCTCCTATAGAATATAAAATAACTTGGTACTACCGATATTTTCAGGAGATACACGTATCAGCAGAAATATATTTTATTGTATTACTGAAATACGTAAGATATTTTTGTATTAATGGATGTAGACAAAAAGAACAAATCAAGTGCAAGTCGCGCACCAAAAGTTATGCTTTAATAGGTAATGAAAGTTTTATTTCATTGAAGGTCTATGATGTGACAGCGCTGTTCTCGACGTCGAGTTAGTGACTGATTTGATTAGTGTTTAAATTCTCTTTGGGTCCGTCGGCAATATGTCACTCTCGCTCGACCTGTTTATTGAACCTCTCGAGTTCGTATCTTCCATTCGAGTATCTCGAGTTCGTCATACCACGCGTGCTGCATCTTACTCAATACTTATTTAAATGTTATATCATATTCCGTAGGATTATTTTATAAAATTAATATTTTTATTATAGGAATGACATTATGCGTCAGTGACAGACAAATTGTCGTATATTAAAAGCTTTCATGACTGTCGCAAATAATTACATTTTATATTCTCAACATTTATTATTGTAATAAATTTGAATCAATTCAAACATGATTAAATAATTATATTCATACGATTTGATATTCAATGTAAATGCTAGAAAGTTACGTTAAACGAGTTCTATGGAGGGACCATTAACTAAGCCGTAATTCCATCGAAATTTGTATATTTTGAAGAATGAATAGTCATTCTCCATGTACTCAGCAAGAAAGGCCCGTTTCAACAGTTATAAAAAATTGCTGAATTGCTAGATCGTTGTTCGTTGTACATTACTCGTTGGTAAATAATAGTGATACAAAAAAATAAAATTAACAGCATTGAAACTGAGATCACATCTAATTTGTGGTGCTGCTGGACAAGGTCTTAGTCTGTTCCTAGGGCAGTTTTTTTTACCAAATATTAATTTCTTTGGCATATATTTTTCTAGTAGAGGCTTCGCCGCGGATTTAGATTTGACTTCAGTTTCATTGCTGTTAGTTTTATTTATTGGTATCACTGTGTGTGTGCTGAAAGATAACATACGTATCGGTATAAATAGAACTCGATCGTTCCTGTGAAGTATTGCGTATTGTTGTAGGCGACGTTATAGGTCACTGATCCTACCCTGTACAACAGACGGAAAGGATACAGATTTCTACAAATAGCGATACGTGTCGTTTATTTTCAATGCTCTCATAATACTTTGGGTAATAGTCCGTTTTTTCTAGACCAAAGTACATATGGTAATATTTAATTTATATATCTTAGAAAGCTGTTGTTGTAGTTTCGTGGATCATATATTGGTTTCCTTTGCTATGTAAATAGTATTTGTTGTAAAATGTACTTAATAATGTTCAACTACCCACCCTCTAGAGAGATTTTTTTTCAACTGAGTTGAGTATCTTTTAGAGTGTATACACTTTGGATAATTTTTTGTTTTCATAACATTTAATAATTAGTTTCATATTAAACTTTTACTTCAAGTAAAATAAAAAAATAATATAAGTAAAACCCAGTATTACTTCTTTATAGAATGTTTTAAATCAAAACATATGTAATTCACATTTTATTCGCATAAAAATTCTTTAATACATTATCATAAATGAAGGCAAACGAAACTTATGAATGTATAGACTTTCTTAGATTCAATCCATTATTTATTTAAAAATACAATGTTGCAGTTAGTAATCCTTTTTATATATACTATGTTTCATGAACATAAGTGTAAACTTAGTGTAATGTTACGCTAAATAATATAGTTCTTTTCTCGCTAAAAAGCATTTTTATTATAATTTTTAACATCTTAATATTTCCCGTAGAATGTTACAAACTACCCAATAAGTCTAAAACATAGACTATAAGTACAATTCAATTTTAAGGTTTTGAACATAGTAGTATCGAAAACGTAGAAGTTTTGTACAATTAACCTTTTTCAATCTCTAAGTTACTTTGAAATCTTTAGACATTGCTAAACTTCGATATTGTTCATGTTGTATGGTTACAATAAAAACAATATAATTTAAAGCTCATCGGGTATGTTGTAACATAAACATCCTATATAAGGTAAGTTGCCTAATAAGGCCCACTGTTTATGGCCTATGGAATATGTTTTAATTATACCGACTGGTCGGTAAGGACATAAGAAAGTAATTTAAACCTATTTCAGTTTAAGAATTACAGCGGACAAGAATAGTGGGCCTTATTAGGTGATAGTACATTATTACTAAGTAAATAAGGCACGCTTAGATACAAACTATCATGCATTATCCAATTAATTTGCAATTGTAATTTATTGTGCATAACATATTGAGAACTCGATAACAACGGTTTGTACATTTTAAAATATTCACATAAATATTTTTTTATATGAAAACATTAGAAATAATACATTTCTTTAAGTCGATGCAACATTAAAATAACAAATACTAATACGTTTTTAAAAATTTATGATGCTTATTTTACTTGTTTGGGTGGTTGTAAATTATTATATTGCCACTCCACACACGCCCACCCTTTGACACCGTTCACTTCAACATCGCACCAACGCTCGTAGAATTTCGCCACCCTGTCTTTGCCGATATAGAAAACATCTTCGTCCTTTACAAGCACACGAATGGAATGGAGTTGGCCATCTGCAATATATATCACATTAAAACGGAATCCATTTTGCATATTACTACTAAGACTCCGCTGTCCGTGTCACCAGACTGTATCTTATAAACCGTGATAGATAGACACTTGAATTTTTTACAGACGATGAATTTTTGTAGCCGCTAAAACAAAATACGAATACAGGGTGTCCACTTTCTGGAAAATCAGGGAAAGTCGAGGAAAGGTCAGGGAAGCAAAAGATTGTCAGTGATAGTCAGGGAAAAATATTCAGTCAACCGTGAAGTCGGGGAAAAAATATTAGAGCTTTGTAAATTTTTTATTACTACATTCATATGAACATGATGTGTTTGTGTTGGTACTTAGGAATATATTCAATAGTTGATGTGCGATTCACTTCGCAACGGGCCGTGCAGCAGAAATCGTAATATTTTGCCATAACTTCAAACCAAACGTCCAATTTTAATCATTTGAAGACCAGATATTATCCACATAAGATAAGGATAGCATGAGTAAAATAAACGCGTTAAAATGTAGTCCAAATAAAATTCAAGATTTTTAAATCAAAAAAATGGTTTTTGTGCCTCACTCGACATAGATTATAGGATCTAAAATTAATTAGAACATTTTATGGTTCTATCTTTTATAGTTAAGGCAGCATACGCAAAATATGTAACTTTTCTGGTTGATTTTTTACACCTTGTGTCCGAAAAACCCAATTGCCTTATGGAACCCTTTTATTCCAAAATATAATATAGCCTATGTTACTCGTGGATAATGTAGCTTTCGAATAGTGGAAAAGAATTTTTAAAATCTCTCCAGTAGTTTTTGAACCCAGGCCCCGGGCTATAAATGGGCAGACTGGGCATTTACCCAGGGCGCCAAATTTTATGGGGCGTAAAATAAAAGCGATAATAAAAATAAATGAGAGAAAGAAATTGCCTTAAAAATATAATTTTAAATTGTAATCTTTGCTGGAAATGTGAATTATGTAGAAATAATAATGGGGCCTGTTTGAACCTATTCATTACAAACAAACAAATGAATTTTTCCTCTTAATAATATTAGTGTAGATGAAAATTTTCTTGTCTTCTGAAGTTAAATGTGTTAGTATGTATGTGGGTGCGTGCGGGCGGGTGTGTGTGTGTAGTAATTGATATTCGTCGGATAGTTCATGAATATTTTTCCTTTTAAAATGTTTTAATTTCAAAAGACTTCATTGGTCAGGAAAATTATGATAAATGGTCAGGGAAAAATCAGAGATTTTACTCATTTCCGATACTTAAACGTATTCTGGGAAATGGGTAGAACTTTCAAGATTTGATTAAACACAACCATCGGTACAGATGCAATTAAAAAAAGTTGTGAACGTCTAACGATTCTATTAAGAAACTGCAGCGTTTGACATCCGTGTACAGTCAACAGCACCTCAAGGTATACAAAACTTTCAAATTTTCCCACTCGACTTACAAACCTTAACACATTGAGGGTAAAGGTCAAATCCATTGAGGAAATTTGACATATTTTGGTAACTTGACGTGCAGCCGCGTGTACAATACAAACATTTTTAAGTTAATTAAATAAAAGCAATGTTATTTTTTTTTTCATTTGAAATAATATTAGTACAATCGAGGAGCTTTGGACTCATCCTTCTACCATACTTGCCACCATGCAACTGTTCAAAATAGTTTGTGTAAAAATTAGCAGAGCTCGTGGACACTCAAAATTCCTTTATATAATAAAAAGACAAATATATACTAATATAATTTTGCAAATAGCATAATATTATAATATCTCTTTGTAATTACCTGTTTTGAAAACAAATCCGTAATCTTTAGGAAGCACTTGGTGCTCTCCATGCTGATAAAGTTGAAAGTCGCATGATTCTATTGGAAAGACGGTCTGATCAGAGCGCCGACAAAAGTATCCTATGGTGAGGCTATATAATAGGAGAAAATTTATGTATTACTAAAATGAACTTTTTAATTTCTTATAGCTATTGTTTATAAGTGTTGGCAGTTACAATTGTGTATAAAGTTGTAATATTATCCTTCTTGGGCTTTAAACAGATAATATTATATATATTTTATCTAAAATTTTACATATATAAACTGACAGAACTACAAGTTAGTTTTTTAAAACAATTTTTATTCTATTTATTTATAAGAAAACATAGCGGACTGTAAATATAGGCATAAAGAAAGACACATAGGACAAAGAATCTTAAAATAATACATTAGAAACACATATGCTGTGCCAAAACAGAGAAGAAACAACTACTTATCACTGTCAATAGACGGTACAAATCAAAATATTAAAAGTATAAAAGTAAATCTACAAAAAAAGATTGCCTTCAGCAACAATATGGACGTGTTGGCAGTTGCAATAGGGTATTCTATTCTATTTGAAATAATACTAAGTGTTTACAGTAATTTAAAAAAAATCATAAAACAAATATATCGGAAATATAAACACGTTTTCTTGCCTTAAAATTAAAACAAAATTTAAACTTTTTTATACCCGCGAAAACGTTGTCCATATATTAATGACATCATTGTGATATGTACACAAAACAGAGTAGAAGATAAAAAATGTCAGTACAACAAGTGCCATCTAGGAATTTGATTTATAATTAATAGGCATATTTCTATGACTAATCTGATAGCTTTTGTCACAGTGACGTCACACAATGGCGGGTCGTGTTTCAAGTCACGTGACACAGACAAAAATCTCTATTTTTATTTTTAAGATAATCGTGCGATTATAATACTCAAAATCAGAATCTCTAATCAGACTCAAAATCAGAAGTTTATTACGATATAAATTTTATTTTTTATGCGATTTCCCGACTTATTTTTCACTACCAAAACTACCACATTGTGTAGAATTTTGAACGTATTTAGTGTTGACTGATCAGATTATCTGATTTCGGAAAAGGGAACATATAAACGTATCCTGCTTTTATCTTTAACAATTCTACATTCAATGCTACATCCAAAACAATTAGATAATTTAATATTGACATTATTTTCTCAAAAAGGTTTTGGAAGATAGAAAACATGAAGAATGCATTCATAAACCAAACAAAAAATTACAGGAACTTGTTAGCGACTTACTGCGACAATATTGCAGGTTGTGATACAGCGCCTATGGCCATGCAATCACCATTTTCAAGGAATATAAAGTGGTATACATAACGATGGAATGTTCGCCAATCGCGAAACGGCCCTGTGAAAACAATTAAAAAACCCTTAAGTAGCCAAAAAGAAATGAAAATGTACATGTTATCCCATTATTAATAATTTATCAATATAGCATTATGAATGCCGAACTGATCAAATAGAATGTTATCTATATGTTAGTTAGAGATAAAATTAGAACACGAAAAGGTAATTAATCTGCATAGATTTATCCTAATCAGCACGCGTAGCATGACAAAATCGAGAAACGCTTTGTCTACACTCATTTGTCAGTTTCTCGGGTCGAGAGTGAGATATAATATGGGCGCACCCGAGAAAAGTGACATTTGAGTGTAGACAAAACGTCCTCGAGGTCGCCATGCTACGCGTGCTGCTATTGTGAGTGGGCCGCACTATTAGATTAAGAAGGAAGGCATTGCATTTTCATTAAAAAAATTATTGTATTTTTCCTAGTAAGCCTTTTAATCTAAAATTAAAGTATCTTACCAAAACTATGATCTCTAAGGCAAGGCATGTTGACAGAGTGCACTTTGTCATCAATAATAATCGTCCCTTTGAAGTAACCCATTTGTTCATAGTGAGTTTGATGAAATCTGGAATATTAATTATATTAAGGTATTGGTTAAAGACCTCAGAATGTACAAATTGAGGAACCAAATGTAGTAATATGTGACTTGTAGTGTCCAAATGGTCATACAAAAAATTGTGCTTATGTGCTATTATTTGCATATTATTTACATCCTATTATATGAAAGTTATCCATGTTTCACTCTTATTTTAACAGCAAAAAAAAATACGGTAACTATTTTATTGTAAATAAACTTGCCTTGTTTCGGACTCTAACTTAGATTTTGGGTTTATTATGGTTTGGTCCTTTACGTTGACAATATGCCATTTTGCAACAGCTGTAATCTTGGATGTATAATAAAAGTGAATAGGTGCGATTACCGTATTATAGTATGAAAAATGGGAAATTTAACAAATATAATTTAACATATCAATTTTGAGACTTCAGTAGCTAGATGTATCACTAAAAATTACATTTAAATAAAACACACTTTTTTAACAATTGGAAGTATCCGCGCGACCAGTTTTCCCTGGCTAGGTCATTGGCCATACAACGTGCGGACATTTGGGTGTCGTAATTGAAACTATTCCAAATTGAACTCCATGTTAAGTCCATTTGCACGTTGACCTTTTTCTCGTAATCGCTGCGGAGTCTGTGAAAATTAAAAATAAATTATAATTAAGCACTACAATCAGCCTATACGGAGCTCGAATGTTAGTACGCTAGGTCTGCGATTCGGTTGTTAAGCAACTTTCGTAATGACCGGTTATAGGATGGATGACCAAAAATTTACTATCTCGAGCTCCTCTGTGGTTCGTTAATACCCTCCAATCCGCATTAGGCCAGCTTGGAGTAATAGCCCATCCTCCTTAACCATCAATAAGGAAGGCCTGGGCCCCTGCACGCGTAGCATGACAAACTCGAGAAACGCTTTGTCTACACTCATTTGTCAGTTTCTCGGGTCGAGAGTGAGATATAGTATGGGCGCACCCGAGAAAAGTGACATTTGAGTGTAGACAAAACGTTCTCGAGTTCGTCATGCTACTCGTGCTGCAGTGGGGACGTAAAAGGGCTGATGATGAACTCCACAAAACAAATACAGTGTTTAAAAGGAATAGATCGCCATTCGCATATTTCTTATTGTGGAGATTTGTTATTAACATTAAACATATTTTTTACTTTTTAACATTATTGTTAATATATTATACTCTAAAATTTTCCAAGAAATAAAATTAATTACTTCATTTCACCCGTGTAAGACACGTTCCACGCCCGCATGGGTATCATCTTTTGAATAGTTAATCCTTTTATTTTGTAATCTCCAATTTCTAATCCACTCTGTTCCTGGTAAGTGTCTGGTAAACATGGAGACAGCAACAATTCTTCGCCGTTGACCTAGATACGCATTATAATAATAAAATATTTAAGTAAGATAATATGGGTACGTGACTGTTTTGGGAAAAGTGCCTTTTTTAAAACTTTCATAAATATAATCATATTAAACCACCATCAGATGATTTAAAATAAAAACATATCCTTATCAAATCTGTCGCCTAAATATTTAAGAATAGCTGATTCATAAAACTATTATAAGGTAATGTCGTCTAATAAGGCCCACTGTTTTTGTCAGCTAAAGCGCTAAAACTTCAAAATTCATTAACCGTCCTTAAAGATCCGTCAGTGTGGGACTGTTATTAATATATATGCTAGTTAGTTTTTAAGTACTCCAGCGTTTGAAAACACAGTGAACCTTATTAGGCGACAGTACCTATAAGTTACCTTCAGCAATAAGAACGAATCGCAAACTTGTCCCGGTCTCCGAGCTAAATTACAAATGACGACGTCACCGGTCTTTGACATGCCATTAAAATACACAGCATCTACAGCCTGAAAGGGGAAAAAGATTGCAACTGTTATCTTTATTTTTGTAACAATTGTCGATATCAATAATCAGTTTTAATTTTCAACTTTAAGTATTAGTCCGAAAGGGTTCGATAACGCAGCGACAGGTAGAAGCTCCACCTTGGCCGATGGTCTCGGCTACATTTGCAGTTGAACACCTACCACACTGGACCCGCGTGGTGGGTTACGATAAACGTCACCTGGTTACGTTACGTCCCATTTTATCCCAGTATCCCCGAACATAATCCTGGGACGTAAAAAAGTTGCGTTTTCGTAATGGTGCTAAAATTTGAGGGAGAGAGGACAGCGACCTGACTGGATAAATTCGTTTGTTTTCCAATTAGGTACTTAATTTGAAGTTTATAAAATTATTGTTTAATGTTCGGTAAAGTAGCTATATATAAAATAAAAATTTGTCTACCCAGCAAACTCTTTTTACCTCATAGAATATATCTGGGCTTATCACATTATATGTATCAGAAAAGGTCTACCATAAATTACGTAACAAGAATTTCATTAATCATATGACAAAGACCTTTATTTATAATAGAGCAGAGATGAATAGTTATAATAAAGCAGAGATGGCTTCGACCGTTCCGGAATCACTAAATACTTATTTTAAAATAATGAATCAATACTATTCAATACAAATATATGCTAAACTATGCTTACTGTAGGGCTATCAGCTAGAAAATATTTCTGTTCCAGGTCAGTTTCTCGTCGTTGAATATGTACAGTGCCGTCTGAACTACGTCCAAACTCCACGTCCAGTAGATGCTTGATGTGGTTAATTAACTAAGAAATAAATAAAAGGTACATATTCATTACCGTCTCATCATCATCAACAACAACATCAACAGCCGTACTACGTCCACTGTTGAGCATAGCCTATTCTACTTCTCGAACTAAAAGTCGGAAAATTTCAAATCATTCTAACCTATCAATTTTGTTAAAATAATAAATCAACGAAAAATTTATTTTTGAAGTCTTATTAGCGTTTCGAAAATATACAAAATTTTTGTTAATTCAAAAGACTAGTTGTAGTTGTACCTACATATAGGTACATTGACCCTCCTGGACAGACAATTCGTCCGGGAATGGAATCCTGGCCTTGTGATGATACCTAACGTATATAAACTACTTACTGCTTCTTAATACTGAATTACTATTATTGTTTGAAACTCGTTGTGATTACAGTATTGTTAAGATAAACTGAGATAGTGTAACTCTTAAATGATAACGATAAAATTAATTTTGATGTACACACAGAAGCACGCCAGATTACCACAATTTTCGCAATTCTTTAATAATGTATTAAAGATTAAAAATTAACTGAGGAAATTTGCGATTTATATAATTTGACCTGCTATTTACTATACCTATAGAAAAGTTTAGATCATAATTAGTCATACGCATAAATACCTATACACAAATCTGCTTAAAATTTGGTAGTTGAGATTTATTAGTAATTTTAGTATAAATTATAATTCGGCATTGAAAAATTTGATCTGATTGATTTCTTATATTTTCATGCGCACTATTCATAAATGAAACAACTTTTTAATGGTTACATTGCATTTGTATTAAGTTTTATTGACGTTTCAGACCCTTTACAGTCTAATGTAAACTTACGTCTTATGGGAACCTGTACAGGGTCCGAAACACCGAAACTTCAATAAAATTTAATAAACGGGATGAAACCGTTTTAAAATTGTTTCATTTATAAATTTTATCTTATTCAAGGTGAATGCTAAAGAGTTTTGGAATGCCATAGCTTTGATGTGGAATTACCTGAGGTAATTTACAAACAATTTAGTGGGTGATGCTTTCTCATTTACTTACATTTTATTACATTAGGTAAGTACTATAGGTGCTTCACAATAAAGAAAATGACTTACCTGTCTTAATTTCAAAATTGTGAACATAAGCAGAAACTTGAACCAATAAGATTTGCCTCGTTGCTTATAAACACCAAAAATAGGCGGTTTATTTTTTTTATTTATAAATCTAAAAAATATCACCAGCGTCGTTGGAATTAGTAACACAGGTATAATTAAAGTTAACATTTTTATTTATTAAAAAAGTAAATCGTCCGACTGTAATTGGAATTAACTTTTAATTAAAAATTATCAATGCGTATCTTATCAGTATCCGGTTCCAATATTATTTGGTTTGGTATCAAGAGTAATCTAAAAATAAAGCAAATTACAATTGTATTATCATTATCGGCAGACAGTGTTCCTTTAGACTACAAGTTCAAAGGACGAATACTGATATTATTTTTTAGTGCACCTACCCACTATCTTTTTCTTAACTTTAATGGCACTTTACGTCACCACAATACTGCAAACTTCACGTAGGAGACCATTACACAATTTAAATATATTCATTCAACCAAACAATTTTGAATTAATTGATCAATAAATTGGATATGTCATATCGAGAATATCAACCGCTTTACAACATGACACCTGAGGGCCTATTCTATCTGTTCTCGAACTAAAACTTGGAAAATTACGATACATTGATAAAATTTTGTCCAGATAATATCCGTGAAGACTTTAAATCATAAGGCAATGTCCGGTTCTACATCCGCTGCATCATAAATTATCAAAAAATGCGTGTTTTTTTGGAGTCGTCTTAGTATTTCAAAAAAAGGCGAAATGACATTTTTGGAGAAATAGAATAGGCCTTCAGGTGAGTAGAAGGTAGTAAATGGGATTACCGAATCAAAATTGCATTTAATTTGGCAACAGAAACGCCGAGATGTTTTCGCAACTTCTCCAGCAGTGCAGTAATAAATACAGCATCTAATTCGACGTCAAACTCTGCGCTCTTCAGCACAGAGAAATCGACAAAATTATAAAATCAAACTATCTTTTTTACCGTTTGAAGAAGGCCTTGACTTGATATAGCCTCTGTACTATTGTAAAGCTGTGCTCGACGTCGAGTTCGAGGCTATTTTTGTTACAGAATGGCATAGCAGAAATCATCACCAGGCTACTAAGCCCCACTGCTAGTAGCTCAGGTCTTCCCCATGGATGGAATCGAATCAAATAGGCAGAACCGGGACTCTTCAAGTCAAGAGTGAATCGGTCCTTCAAGGCAGGCACGCTCCATCTTAGACCACTGCATTGCTTACCATCAGGTGATCTGTGGTCAAGTGCTTGCCCATCTAGCATAAAAAAAATCTTAGCCATTACCCACCACGCGGACCAATTGCAGATTGGTACGTGTTAACGACTGTAGCCACGAATGCAGCCAGGACCAACGGCTTAATGTGCCTTCAGAATCACGGAGCTCTAGATAATGAAGTTTTGGTCACCCATTCTATGACCAAATATATCATATCATAATATATCATATCTATGGCGCTTAACACTGCGCTATCGAGCTTCATTATTATAACCCATTTATTTTCCTCAAGGAACCCGTCAAAAAAATCTTAATTCAAATAGACTTCTTAAAAGTACTTCTGAATCGTGAAACGTTTTTCCTGACAAACTAATAGGAAGACAGTAAAAGATCATGACGTGATAAATCCAAGACTTATTTATAAGTGTTACTAACAACCAATAAATCCAATGTTCTTGAACTCTAAAAATTTGCAATAAGAATTTATTTAACTCGATTTTAGTTATCCTATGAAGGAAAAATAAAAATAAAAACAGTGATAGTGAATTATTGTTTTATTTACTAATCGGTTTAATAAACGTTTAATACCAGTTATTGATATACTATATAAATAACTCTTAGTTCCCAGTAAAGAGAAACCAATATTAATTAACAGATAATTTTGAATCTTAGATACTTAATAGAAAAAACAGGGTATATATTCAGCCAAAGATAAATAATACATTCATGTTGTATACAAAATAAAATAAAAGTGCTATCTTATCAGACTGTTTGAAGAATTATAGGAAGTTGAAAAATATTATTCTGCTGTTGCTAAAAGGTGTTTGTGGACGCACTCTTCTTTGTTGATCAGATGTGTTGTTTTGTTGACGAGTTGCATCAATGTATTCAGGTTATTAGACCACTCGTTGAGACGGTCCGACGCGTCCATGTTCAAACTGAAAAAAAGTTTCTATCTATATCATGAAGTTTAAAACATATCAAAACTTTATCTGAGGTTGTGGATAAGGAAGTGGTACCGCCAAGTCGACCTAAGAGTTTCGAAATGACATAGGAATACAATATCTGAGACACGTATGTTCGGTAAATTTTGTTTTGTATTTTTATAGAAAAAATGAAATCAATAGAATTTCTACACTAAATTTCGGCACTACACTAACACGGAATTCAAAATCGGGTTTGGAATTTTTCAAAATCGTAAGGCAGATCTATTAACCTAACAGATCAAAAGTTAACTGTTTTTTTTAATACAAAAATTTAATTATTAAATGCACATCCAAAATCGATGAGATCAGTCTCATGTTACTATATTTATTTTTTTATTTATATTATGGTATATTTAAAAGCTTTTATTTAACTTGCAATGTATCAAAGAATGTTTGTTTGGGTGGAATCTTTGAATTCAAATTTGAAGTACCTTCAACCGATTGAGCCGAAGTTTGTATACAGTTTGGATGACAATGCATGATAAGGGGTAACCTCACTCTAAATCCAATATGGTTGACCATCAAAGACGTCAGAATAGTTATTTTTAATGCACTTCTACAATATGGGTATCAAATGAAAGGGCTTGTTGAGAGTAACTAGAAAAATAATATGACGTCATTCGAAATCCAATATGGCGGACTATACAGGATGGCGGACTAGTTCATTTTAATTTTTCCACTTCTACAATAGGGGTATCAAAAGAAAGGGCTTGCCGAGAATAATTACAAAAATAATGTGACATAACTCTAAATACATTATGGCGCTCTATTGAAGTTTTTATGCTTAAAAAAAATTACGAAACTAATCGGCGAACGACCTTGCAATAATGATGCGTTGAATGAAATGAACAGACTAAGGAATCTAGCCAGTGACAACTAAAAAGTAAAAATTACAAAAAAAAAACTTTTTAAAAAGCTTTTATTTAAACGCTGTAAAAGGAACAAAAAATATCCTTTTTACTACGATTTACTTGTGTAAATAAACTAGTTCAATTATGTAAAATCCGCTAAAATTAAATTTTTCAAATTTCAATTTAATTTAATATTGATAGGTACTCAAACCACGCGACAAGCTTTTATAATCATATGAATTGTGAATAATAACATAATAAGTCGGTAGTTAATATTTAAAAGGAAAAATCTAATTTTCTTCTTTTAAGAGCGTTTAAATAAAAGATTTCTTCTAAGCTGTTTTTTTGCTTTAATTTTTCACCAAACTTGTTCACTATAGTCCGTTTCACATAGAATGGTTAAAGTGACGTTTGCTAACAAATCCATTTTACGAAATTTGTATTTCTAAATGATTACAAACCATCCTTATAAAAGATTGTTTGATTGTGCATCTATTTGTATTTATTTAAATTTGCATATTAAAATACAAATAATCTTTAATATCCATAATTACTTAAATCTAATCTACTAAAGTTGAAAACATCAATACTTCACAACGGAAAATGGAACGTTTTTTTTTTAATAGGGATTGAATCAATGAAGCCATTTTAACCTTAATACATAATCGGTAATCATTTAACAATTTTTAGTTATTGTACATTAAGTTACTTCAAATCCCAAACATTCTAGTGATTAAATCCCTAATGAGGTAGTGACAATTTTAATAAAAAGTGGTTATTCGTTCATGCCTTCATAAATATTTATAAAATCAACTATGGAGTACCATGCAACTTTTCTATTATTTTGGATACATCACTAGTGTTTAAAAAAGACAACGGGTCAATAGACTTACCTTCTAGCGGCGTTGAGTATATTAAGAATCAAATTGATTTATTACATTTAGAAAGGTACATAATGTTCTGTCGAAATTCTTTTATAATTAACCTAAAGAATTACCTGAAATGTACAACTCCTGCCGGTCGGTCAATCTTTGCACGAACCACAGCGCTTACAACTAGTTGACTCAAAGCTTCTTCAGTCTCTGTCTCACTGAGGCCAAGGAGCTCGCTCATACGCTTCAGAGTGATACGGGTATAATACATTGACATGATGCGAATGTTCTGGAAAGTCAGTATCATTTTAAGAATATGACACCAAATTAGGAACAAGCAATTGAGTTATTATCCTGATATAGAGAGCCCGAGATCTACAATTCTTTCAAACCAAGGCAGATTATGAAACGCTCCATTGTCCATGGCATTTTTCCGTGTAATAATTAACAAACGATAACAAATGTGTGCTAAAAGAAATCCGTGAAACAAGTTTAGTTTTTTTTTCGATTTTTGACGCCTCCCAGAAAACGAAGCTAGGAGCAGATGCCCCTGTTCGCGTCCCTTAGATCAAGGACTAGTTAGCAATGCTTTTAGTGTGGCTTTAAAAAAACGCTTTATAGTATTAAAATAAGTTACCACATAGAAAAACACATGGGACTATCACAAAAACAGATTACAGAAATCAATCTTAAACTGAGTTTGTACACATTTAAGGTTTTGAAATCACCTGTATATATAATTTAATAGAATTGAACATTCCTAGTGCTACCACACAAACTATACAAAATATTTTCTAAACAATCGTAAGCCCTTTGATAAATTTGCTCTTGATTTAACCTAAAACCAACATTTTGTTAATACTTAACAATTTATATTACTATTATTTCTATAAACACAAACTACATAAACTAAACAATAAATACTTTAATATGTATTAAACAAAATAAAGCGTTTTAGCCAATATTTTTCGAAGCTTAGAGAATATGAATAACATTACTTTATTTACACTTAAGTTTATTTAGTAAATTGGTGGGGCCATAAGGTGTCATATTACATTTTATATGATATTGTATGAATGCTGTAATAACCATTAATTAAGGTGCTGCCTTATCTTTATAATTAATTGTGAAGTTAATTGTATGTAGTGTTTGACCTGAACCGTTAATGTTTTACTCAAATAAATAAGTAAACAACATAATGCATGATTAATAATTTTTTCATACAACAAGAATAAAAAACATTTTCAAAACTCACATGTTCCACAACTCTGTTCTTAAGATCGTTCCAGCGTTCTTGTCCTTTCTCGTCACAAGATTTAAAATAAGGTGTTGCTTTTAACATCTTCTCATAATTTGAACATAAAGTGTTCCATCTGATAATTTCTGGATTTATGAACATACCCAAAAGCTGTCTGGAATTAATAAAAAAATATCTTTCACCTCTTGTTTTCACATATTATATGAATTGCCAATTAATTTAAAAAAAAAGAAACTTTTTAAGAACAGATGTATAACTTGAACTACCTTAACACTAAAACTCCAGTATATCTCAGTTTACAAATCTCCAAAATGAAAATATTGATAACATATTTTTGAAACGATTTTTCCCATTTTAGAAATGTTAAGAATGTTATGTCTTTAACACTAATATCTATCTAATTTGCTTATGAATATTTAGTACTAATAATTTATTTTTTGATTTTACTAGAGAGCCTTTTTACGCTCAAGAATAACCTGGCTTGGAATGTATTATGAAAGAAACCAAGAAGAAAGCAAAATAAAGTTTCTTTTTTCTAAAGAATATTTGATATATTTGAATTTTAGTCATAAAATCTTTTTCACATACTTATATTCAGGAAGTTTATCCAGATCTTTATCTTCATTGACTCTATGCGTTAGATCAGCTTGCTCATTATCATAGGGTGCGAGAATCAGAAACACTACACTTCCAATGAGAGCATCAGCGCCACCAGCCTGACCAAGTGCACGGAAGTGTCTGCACACAGCTAAATACTGACTGTTATGCTGATCCACAGCAATCATTAAACGATAAAACTTTTCTTTTAACTCCTGAAATGATTACAATTGAATTTATCAATAAAATCCTACAATTCAATTCTGATATCTGTAACAAGGTTTATAAAAAATCATAATACACATTTTTATTATTGATATATCTGTACATTAATGTATCTGTTTATTGCACTATTAATTATTATAATGTAGAAAGCATGTAAGAACTCGCAGAACTCAAATTGATTTTGAAAGCTGAGCAGAAAAACTTTTGATTTAGAAATAAAAATCCTTATGAACATCCATGATAAAAAAATGGTAACTCAAAGCATAGCTTAGTAGCTTTGAAGAACTGTTTTTGTAGGTGGTTTCTGTAATTGTGGTTTTGCAGGTGTTTAGTTTCTAGCATCGACATTTAACAATTTTATCATCAAATTTTATTTTCACCTGAGTATTATCTTCTTCAAAGAACTTTGTATTGATTTTTTTGGATATGATTTGAGTTCTGATGTAGTCTTTAATTGCCAAACATAGTCTCATTTGTTCCAAAATCAATTCCACTTTTTCACGTTTATCCATAGATCCGTAAGTTTCCACTTGGAGCTCTTGGATTATTTTGGCAGCTTCTGTTACATTGCCTTCTTCTTCACGGATTTTAGCCAAGATATGAGTTAGTCTGGCCCGTTCAACTTCTACATAGATTTTGCCTTCTGTAATGGTCCTCAATGTTTCGATTAACTTTATTTTTGTTTCTTTATCTGGTGTTTTATCCACATAAGTGCAACACTCTTGGACCATTTTTACAACTGCCTGTTTAAGTTGAGATCTGAAAAAAGTATATTATAATGTTTAAAACACCTGACAGGTCAATTTAAAAGTTCATGTACATAAGTAAGTTATTGTAACAAATAAACATAATTGCATTTGAAAATTAAATTGTAGCACTACCTTCTTTTTGAGAGCAGAACAATATGATCATTGAGAGCTGACCAATTTTTAGCTTCAAAACAGATTTGCACAACTGTTACTAAAATTCTGGCAGTCGACGCCATATCAGCACCCTGTAAATAATTCAAAACTTCTATATTTCATTCCACTTTTTAAAATTTATGCACATCACATAAGGTTACGACAAAATTAGTTTTCCATAATCAAATTTGAACTCATTGTTTACTTAGTAAATGGTGTAATTAAACAGAATAATTTTAGTTTTCTAAAACCTAACACATGTGTTGAATATACCTTTTAGGTGTTTTAAGAATAAAGACTGAATTTATACCATTCTGTTATATTTGATATAACCCTGGAGTAATTTTTGTATTAGTAATTCTACTAATGCAAATGTTAATTTAACAAATTCAGTTTTAAACTGAAAAGTAAGACAAATGTCATATATTAATATAATGCATCAAATATACAGTGTTTGGGCGGCAAGGACTTACTAGTTATTTATTAAATCTAACGATATAGAAATAGTTTGTTTAACAGAACATTAGCTGCAACCTAGTGAAATGTCATTTTATTTAAATTATTTTCATATGCAAAGTTCATGTGTATGCAAGGGAACAAAATGTGGTGGATCCGTTAATATTTGTTAATGTATGTAAAATCTAAAAGGCACGGAAAGATATCGTAGAATTAACAGTAGAATAAGATATTCAAGTTTCCTGTGTAGAATTAAGTAGTTTAGTTGCATAGTATGTGTATAAAAATAAAATAAAATAGTATGTGTATACTGACCCCTCAAAGATAACACTATAATTGTTTTTGAATTGGTAATGGAGGATGTTCTTGATAGTAGGGGAGCCCAAGCGGGGATTTCGGGATTTACTAAAGCGCGGCAGATTAATATACAGGGGGATACCTTGTACCCAGTTAAGTACCTGGACCAAGTATGAGCCCTATAAAAATGGCCGCCCGGCAAGGACGAAGGATCAGATTAGTAAAAAAAAATTGATCATCTGAAAATCTCGAGCGCGTCAGATTAAGGTAAGGTGAGCTAGTTACATGCTAAAATGTGTACATACCTCTAATCTGACAATTTGAGAGTGACGTAAAGAAGGGGGAAGGCTACAAAGTTGTAAAAAAAAAAGTCACTTTGACATTCTCGAGCGTGGTTAATATTTTTTTATTTTGAAGGGAATCATTCAAGGATTACGAAAAATATATAATCTGACGATTGTCACAAGCCGAAGCAATAAAAATTCATCGATAAGATTTAATGCGTTTAAGCTACGTGATACCTATATTTCCTTCTCCGCATCACTATTTCTCTCTCTTTTTCTGTCTATTTCTCTCTCATTCCGTCCCCACTCTGGTTTCGGTTGCCATGACGCCATGACAGCTGATGACACAGACTCGTTCGTGGCGTAATATTGTTTACATCGTATTTCCAACGTTTTTGCTTATTTTAATGTAAATTTTGTGAATTAAAATTTTTACATATTAACTAAGAAAAGAAGAGGAAGATGATTCTAGCGATGAAGATGATAATTAATAAAAAATACTGTAAAAATTAAATTTTCATATAATCATTTTCTTATAAATATAAGTATTTTACATAAAAAAACATACACTTTTTTATTTGCATACTAACTCCGGTGCTTTTCTATTTAATTAAGCTCAAATATTTGAAAAATTAAAGAAAATTTTTTTTTTGTGTCAGTTTAAGTTAATCCCTTCAGATAATCGTCAGATTATGAGATATCACGTCTGGGGCATAAAGATGAACCATATATATCTTAATCTGACGCGCTTGAGTATTTCAAAATGACGATTTTTTTTTGCACATTCTAGTAATGGTCACGCGTTTGCGTCACATCCAAATCGTCAGATTATTATATGAGAGCTTTTTTTTAGGTTCACTTGATATCCCCTCAAAAAATCTGACGCGCTCGATAAATTTTTTTTTTTTTTTCATTTTCAACCCTTACGTATAACCACCCCCATCATGGAAACGATCAGATTAACATACGATAGTTTTTAAAAATGCGTAGGACATGGATGATATTAATATCTGACGCGCTCGAGTATGTCCATACAACAGTTTTTTTTTTATATTTTTAAAAATCTATAGCCGCTTCCCCCACCGATGAAAAGGTATATATTATATGAAATTATTTTTTTGTTATCATCTAAGCTTCGCAACCCAATAGGTCTCTATGACGCTCGAGTAAATCCCGATTTAGCATCGTGGGCTCCCCTACTATGAAAAGGTAAGTCTCAAAAAGCAAATTTTTGGTTGTATGTAGTGACTTTAACATAGATTCTCAAACCCAGTACAACATCTAATCGTTTTCTCTCTTTGTTCAAATGTTTTAATATAACAAATCAATTTCATGAACCAACAAGAGTGACTGCCAATTCAGCTGCTTGTTTGGATAATATTTTTTTAAGAACACAATAAAATAAAAAAACTATTTTTTATTAATATTTCATCTGACCATTATGGCTTGAAAATTACCCACGAGATAGCGGTTCCTAATGAATCTAAAACAATAGAAGTTAGGCCATTTATAAATAAACGCATAGATAACTTTCAATTAAATATAGATGGCAAAATGGTGTATATGTCATGGTCACAAGGGTCGTTCGACACCAGATGCAGGTGTAGCGCCACTAAAGCAATCTGTGCAAAGCTTTCGATTGCGTTGAGCATCAGACACTGTAATTTGAACTGAATTACTACGGTATTAAAGGTGCTGCTCAAAAACTGATGCTGTCAGTTGCGGAACACAAACAGTAGATATAAATGGTGCGACGTCATCGTGATCTTATGTAAAACTAGGCGTTCTCCAAAGTTCTATCTTAGGCCCATTTCTATATTTAGTATATATAAATGAAAAAAAAAACACTTTACCTAAAGTTAAAGTAAAACTAACTGAAATCAAACTCAACAACGAAAATTTAAAGTTAGTAAGTTAGTTCAAGCTTTCTATCGTTTTCTGGGGCACATTCAGTCTATGATGGTTCCAGAGTTGAGGACACCATCTTATGCATCAAAGTATTGAGAACCGTTGTAATTGATCCATTGTCTGTAAATCAACATCTTAAATCTCTTAATCTAAGCAAATCCGCTGGATCAGATCTTCCAGCAGCCTTTTTGGTGAAGTGTGCTGATGCATTAACAGATCCCGTAACTACTATCTTCAGACGCTCTTTGACTGAAGGTATAATACCTAGTCAGTGGAAATCGGTATTTGTTTCACCGTTTCATAAGAAGGGTTCGAGAACTGAAGTGGAGAACTATCGCCCTTTTTCCTAAACTATGTTTAGTTGCCAAAATTCTTGAGAGTCTACGAACAGGTGATCAATGGACTAAAAATCAATATCAGTTCATTCCAACATATTTCAGTTTCTTGAGGGGTCGTTCTACGGTATCTAGTCATATGCTCTTTACGGATTATGTATCTGAAAGATCGGATGCTGGAGGCCAGGTCGATGGTGTTTATACCGACTTTCGTTAAGCATTCGACCGGGTTGACCATGATCTGCTGTTGCAGAAGCTATTTGAACTAGGTATAAGAGGGGAGCTTTACATATGGTTTACATCCTATGTTCACAATAGAACTCAGGCAGAAGTGTTAGATTAATCTACTTGGATAACGATCCCATCGGGCGTCCCGCAGGGCGCACTCCTGAGTCCCTTATTATTTCTGTTATTTATTAACGACAACAGCACGTGTTTCAGAAACTCAATTTTTCTGTTATTAGCTGATGACATGAAAATATATAGGTCTATTGATAATAAATACAACAGACAGCTTTCTACTGCAGGAAGATCTGTTGCGGGTTGCTGATTATAGCATTTCAAATCATTTGGACCTGAATATTTCTGTAAAAGTCAAATTTAACTACACTATAGCCAATAACATCTTGGATTGTGTTAATGATATCAGTGATTTTATGCGTCCATCTGAATAGCTATTTATCTCTTGAACAACATATTAATGCAATTGCACATTTTGCACTTCAATGTATTAAATAACATGGTTCTTTACTGAGGTCAAAGATATCTGTTTATCATTAAATTTACTGCCATCTGTGGAGGCTTGTCTTTCCTCTTATAAAATAGTTTGTAAGATACTTTGTAATTCAAGCAATTGCCACCAAAATAAAATAAAATAATATACTGTAACAAGATCCCCAGTGATGTATTAAATTTGCCAATAAATAAAAGTCATATTAAAAATTGTCTTCAAAGTAAAGGATATTATACCATTAAAGAATATCTAAATGACAAAAAAGCTATCATATATCAAAACTAGCTTCCTTAATTCACTGCATAAGTAATGAACCTAGAGTACCACAAAGCTCTCTTAATAATCTCTGTTGTTAAAATATTGTTGAGCAAAACAATGGCTGGCTCATGCATCATGCTTGTGAACAGGTGCTACCAGTGGGGATGAGTCTGCTCTGGACTGCTTAATTTTGTCCTTTTTTTTTATTATGAATACTGTATATTGATTTGGCAATGAGTATGTATGACTCAGCAACCTAATCTACGCGCGACGAGTATCTACCCCTGAAATCACGAAGTTTTGTTGTGTATGAAGTTAATGTAAATCCTATCTATTCTATTTTTTATTGTCCTTTGCAAAATTAGTTGTGCTATATACTCATATATAGGGGAAGTTTGACCATGATCTCAGATATGGTTTATTCCAAAAAATCTATTAAGCAAAGCACAGAGAGAAAGAAATGTAGGTACCTAAACCTTTTTGCATTCGAGTAGGTATAGATTTTGTAGTTTGTACTTTGTGTGTAAGTATAATAATTACGAAAATAACTTGAAAATAAATAAATTATCTATTCGAATAAAAATGGTTTTATTAAAAAATTAATAATTTGCCATCAGCCATTCTTGTACCTAACTTAAAAGTAAAAGTTACATTACATGTAAGAAGATAATAATAACACCGGTCGGCATTAAAATCAGAGCAAAAATGTGAATATGTGAACTCGATGCGTATAGACAAACTAAATACAAATATGTAGTGATAATTTGTCCAGCACGTAAAATTTCTATGTAATGAGCTTTTTTAGATTTCGCTAGAACTCGTCATAATTCGATACAGGCAACGGTATTCGTAAACGTTTTCGCATGATTGTCATAGTGTTCTGTATTTAGCTCTGTGTTAGAAAGAGCAAGCTGTTGTTTACTACTAACTAACAAACATGCCAAGCGCAGTGATTGTTTTGAATTAGTGAGTGACGCTTGTGGAGAAAGTTATAAAAAAACAAAAGAGTGATTTGTTTGTTTTCATTTGGTTTTTGGTAAGTTAATTCTAAATAACATTATTTTCATAGATTAAATAACCATTTTATAATACTTATTGAGTATAAAATATTACAATGCCTTTCATTTTAATTGTTTTAGGTTCAAGACAATGCCATGTTCATGTATAGATTGGCCTTCAAGATCACTGAACCTTTAGTTGCCAGTAATAAAATATTTTTGCCACCACTACACATAAAGTTAGGTTTAAAAAAAAAATTTGGTGAAAGCAATGAACAGGAATGGAGAAGCATTTAAGTATTTGAAAACAAAATTTCTTTGTATAAGTGAGGCTAAATTAAAGGAAGGCATATTTGTGGTCCTCAAATAAGAGAAATTTTTAAAGACTCAATTTTCAAGTCTAAGCTGGTTGCTGAGGAAAAAAAGGCGTGGGTAGCTTTTGAAAACATATGTCATAATTTTCTTGGAAATAACATTGCTGAAAATTACGTAGAGATGGTACAAGAACTGCTTTCATCATACCAACAACTCGGATACAACATGTCATTAAAAATACACTTCTTGCATTCCCATTTAGATTTTTTCCGAAAATTTGGGTTCCGTGTCCGACGAGCATGGGGAAAGATTTCATCAAGACATTGCCAACATGGAAAAAAGATATAATGGCAAGTGGACCCCAGCAATGTTAGCTGATTTTTGCTGGGGAATAAATTGAGAAACAGAAATTTAAGATAATAAAAGGAAGCGATCTACAAAATAACGCTTATTTTTTAATTTATATTAGTTTTTAAATTCATCGGCATATTTTAAATTAACATTTTGAATCATATTGTAACAGTAATAACATTGTAATTTTCTTTTTTTCAAAATAAATAGGTATTTTATTATATAAATTTCAGTATTTTATTTCAACAGCAGTATCTGGAAAACTAGACGGTAGCATACATCTGTAAACAGATTTGCATTCTGCTAACCAAAGCCAATAAGAATTACATACTTATCTTTTTGCTCCCAGGCTTTTTTTTTATTTTTGCCGACCAGTGTAATTAGTGATTCTATTGAAATCCTAACAACCACTATCTGATACCTCTTGTGGCCTGTACTTTTTTGCATTTAGTAATTTTAATGAGAACTAACTAAAAACAATACTCACTGTTCTAGTTTGCTTTTCAAGGGCCAGTAATTGATCTATAGCTTCTTGTACCTTGCCCTTTGCAGCCCATGATTTCCATAGCGGTAATTTCTCATCGCAAGTGGCGCTGTAGTCCACCTAAAAAACAATAACATTAAAGTGATTACACCTTTAGAATAAAAAATAACAAACATCTTTGTTTATTCTTCGTATCTACGAAGAATAAATATAACATAACCTAACATAAGAAACCTAATAAAAAAAAGATATTGGATATAAAAAGGATACTCACTTCCATTTTAATTATTTTGCCACTGGCGTCCAAGCCTCCAATATCACCGTTCATAGCCATTTCTATAACAATAACAATTTGAATAATAATATCGAGATACGACCTAATATTTATTGCAACTATGGATACTAAAATGATAGTTTATAATCTTTACCTTATTTTTCTTTTTAAATTACAATCACCACAATATTAGTTCTTTGATTCGAAAGAAATATCGAATTTAAAATCCCAAAGTAAACTTTAACTTGACTCAGTCAGTGTAAGATTTGGAAAGATTGCAAGCTCATTTGAAATGACAGCACTCACAGCACTCTATGCATGATGGTCAGTGACAGATAAGGACGCAACATTAAATCGGATAACGAAGAAATCCACAGAGTAAATGTGTATTAGTTGTCCAAATATCACATCTTCACATGTGACATTATTTTATTTTAGTTTTTATGTCTATAATTTGTGCTTAATTTCATAATAATATATAGCTTTATTTTGAAAAAATTACAATGGCAAGTTGTTAAAAAAAATACAGATACTGTCAGCATAGAATTTACACACTACATTTTTTCTCGAGAATGGTGTCTGTACTATGCTTTCATAATGTGTTATTCCAAATCCAATACCAATGAATTTAAAATGGCAATGAAATATATCATCACCATCTTTCATTAATTTCATTTTCATTATGCATATAAAAATTAATTTATTAACTTGATATGAGGAAGTATTAAAAAAAATAAAGAAACTACAAAATTTTATGTCACTAGATAGCAGCACAAATTGTAGTATTTTAATGTCGTTTCATGACGTTCGACCAAAGAGACTCAGATTAATATCGAGTTGAAATTTAATTAGTTCGTGTTACGCAAACGCAACTCTATTAATACGAAGTAATACTTGAATAAATTCCTTTTTTATTTGTATAAAGGAAAATGGAAACTAACAGCATAGAGGTTTTTTAAAAGTTATGGAAATCAATAGAATGAATGCTGTGAAATTATTAAAAGTGGCATTTAGCTACGGTATACAATAATATTAACGTAAAATATTTTTTATAAATAAAATAGTTATTCTATAATAGGTCTAGGAATTTTTTAACAAAAGTTCTGAAAACAATAACAACTAGGAAAGTTAGTTTTGTTACTTAGTTGTTTGTTGAACTTACAGCAACAAAACTACATCAAGTCTTAATCATATTTTTATATTATGTTCGGTGAATGAATAAATAGGGTTTGTCATAATCAGCATCAGAGATCATAAAAACGATAATTTTAATAAAAAAAATCCGTTTATTATCTATATACTTTACTATCAAATATACTCGTACATAAAATTACTTCTGGCTAGAATGCCGTTTGTGTAAAGTATCCTTTCGAAATTAAGAATTAAAAAAAAGTATTATCAATTGATATATCTTATATTCATAATTAAATAATCTTAATAAAAATTCAGCAATCAACAAGAAACGTCCGTTCGAAACGAACAGCAAGGTTTCAACTTTAAATTTCGAAATCAAAAAGACACGTACAGTTATTATACTATAGCTACTGAACTTGCTTGTCGACGGCGGACGTCGAGCCAGGTATTATGTTAATTCAGTATACAGTGGGTATGTGCTTTTTGGTTCTTACAATAATATCCTATTATTAATTAATATTATAAAGGCGAAAGTTTGTAAGTATGGATGTATGGATGTTTGTTACTCTTTCACGAAAAAACTACTGGACGGATTTGGATAAAACTTTACAGCAATATAGGTTATACATCAGAATAACACATAGGGTACTTTTTACTGGGAAAACTTCTCACTCCCACGGGATACCGACTTCCACGCGGACGAAGTCGCGGGCGTCCACTAGTTGTCAATAATAGAATGACTTCCTACACAACCTACTCTAGAAAACAGAAACTAGAGTAGTGGTGTCGTGTGTATCAGGTTCCCTCAAATATAGATGAGCGAAGCAATAGCTGACTCATGTGTCTAGCTCGTAAACGTGTATTGCCAGTTGGGGTTGAGTCTGCACTGGACTACTTAATTTTGTCCATTTTCTTTTATTATGAATATTGTATATTGATTTGTCAATGAGTATGTAGGGTTTCTGATATTGTAATGAAAAGTGACTTCATAGTCTAATCAAGAGCACATTCCAATTTCTGTGTGAAATAAAACAGGGAGAAAGAAGCAGCCCTTGCTAAGTTTCTTGCCGGTTCTTCTCAGTACAAGATCTCCCACCTTAGTTTTGCCGTTGGCAAAGTTTATGACTTTCGCAAGTGCTATGTAACAGCTTAGACTGAATTGATTTTGATATTTATATTAATATAATTCGACGTGTGGATGCATAATGGCACATAAAAAAAAACAAGTTGAATTCAGCGCTCCGCTTTTTATTCTTGATTCCTTTTTTCATTTCATTCTTGATTGAAACCTGAATTTGAATGAATCGAGTCAATTGAAGTTACGAGCAACCAATAAGTTGGCTCATCACTAATGTTGACATATAAACCAAACATCGGTCCTTTACACGTAACATACTAAATAATTTAAACTAACGATTAAAATAAAATAAAATAAATTTGAAAGTTAGATATTATAAAAAACACGAAACGATATCATATTTATTAATTTTCGACACTCAATTTACTTTTATACGTCAGCAACAAAAATTTGAATGAATATCATAGACAAGATCTAAACATTGCTAGTGACAACCAGTTTGATTTCAAGAACTAATTTTTATTTTTTAAATATTTTCTTAATATTAAAAAACATTAAGTAAAAAACAAAAAACTTTATCTTTGTCTGGACTACACCTAAAACACCCTTCGACTTCTCAGTCAGAGATTAGGACTTTCCTCTGAGTAGCCTGACTAGAAAGTCAGTACTTAATAATAAAAGCTCAGACCAAATAAAAACTATAGACGGAGTTTTGTCAAACAGAAAAGTGAAAACGACAAAACTACGCCTCGGCGTATTTGTACACAGTTTCACACAAACATACATAACGAAACTACGCCTTCCTTATCAGTCTAACTATAGTTTCATTATAAAAAAAAATCTTACTAACTGCCGAATTATGTAGTAAAAGGTTGTAAAAACCAATCCTCAAAAAATAAAAAGCAGGATGGAATCACATTTCACTCATAAGTATTGGGGAAAACTTACATTTTCAGTAATTTAAAAATAAAATTTAAGTAATTGCTTGGAACACAAAACCTCAGCCAAATATTACCATCGTTAAACGTTATTATTTACCCCGAAACTAAGTAACTTTAATTTTATAACGCGTTATATCTAACAAAACACAAATTACGTTATGTATTTGTTTCTTGTTGTATGGAAATGATATTTAATAAATTTTGCATTGAAAATGCTACATAGAGATCCTGTAGAATAAGGAAGTGAAAAATATAAAACGGGTTTAATTTTTTACTTCTTTATTTTTACTAAACGGGTTTGCATTAATTTTTAGATTTCCAAACCGACATCAAAAAGTGAAAGAGAAGTGGATTTCAGTCATTCGTAATAGTCGAAATGAACCTTATTATTTAAGTAATTGCTTGGAACACAAAACCTCAGCCAAATATTACCATCGTTAAACGTTATTATTTACCCCGAAACTAAGTAACTTTAATTTTATAACGCGTTATATCTAACAAAACACAAATTACGTTATGTATTTGTTTCTTGTTGTATGGAAATGATATTTAATAAATTTTGCATTGAAAATGCTACATAGAGATCCTGTAGAATAAGGAAGTGAAAAATATAAAACGGGTTTAATTTTTTACTTCTTTATTTTTACTAAACGGGTTTGCATTAATTTTTAGATTTCCAAACCGACATCAAAAAGTGAAAGAGAAGTGGATTTCAGTCATTCGTAATAGTCGAAATGAACCTTCATGGAATCCAATTTCGCGCAGCGTAGTTTGTTCGACTCATTTTAAGAGTGATGATATGTATTTTACTATAAAAGGGTTACGTCGAATAAAGCAAAACTCATATCCAAACTTTTCAAACTTTCTATATATTAAAATTTTAGTTAACATAGTGGAAGTTTTCATACTTAACTTAAAAATTATTTAATAGTATCTCTAATGTATGGCCTCCAATAATAATTACCTACTCTCAAAGATTTTAGAATATCTATGCTGATATTGACAAACGAATTTACATTATATTATTAAATAGCATAGCGTTAACGTTAACTCTATAACTTCGTAACGTTAAGTTATTGGGGTGTTTTTAATGACTAAGGTCACACTGGCACACACACTACAATTGCTAAAAATCGGCTTCACTTTATTGTTCAGCGAACTCCATCTTTACTTTTTATTTGGTCTGAGAATAAAAACTTATTAAATAAAATATTTTTTTATTACCTTTACTTAACACTAAAACCATGCTACATTGCCGTAAATTTTGTTCTGCTGCTATAGTTTTCTTTTAAATTATGTCCACTTAAGAATTTCTGTGAATTATCGTAGCAATAGTAACACTGAAATAAAATACCATAGAAAATATTTAAGGTTTGTAAGTCGTTGGTAATTTATAGTTTTTTTCAATTTATAGACTATAGGTAGCGAAAGTATCATTCGAACCTACTCACAAATTATATTTTTATTATTATTGTTTGTATTTTATTCAACTTTTTATGTATTTTACATACCTTTTTATTTCTTAAGAATGTATGTTATAAAATCTATGCGAATGAACGATGTTGTATTATTAAAATGATGAAAATTGAAAAACAGACACACTCAATTTTTTTTTTTTACCAAAGTCAGTCATAGAAGTCAAATGTTAACTATAAATAAGCCGTATCAAGCAAAACTCGATAACGTCTATTTTAATAAATACTTGTGATTACTTACCGTGCTGTAGTATCGATTACTCAGTATCGAGTGTCGCTTTGGAAATTATCGATACCTACTAGGTAGCAAAAGTATCGTCCGAACCTACTCACAAATTATCTGTTTGATTATGGCGTAGTTGAAAGAAAGTGTTGAATTCGTAGTTAAATTATTTTTTACATTTTGCAATGTAATTCTATAATTACTTATGACGCTAATCTCATCTGATTTCAGTATTTTGTGTATATGAAAATAAGTTACGAATATTTTTTGGTTCTTATGTGTGTCACGAGTTCACAGATTTAAAAGATTTTTTTCTTTGTTTTGGAACATATGCTGACTGAATACGTGTGATTGTTATTGTAAATAGAGTTATTAGATAACAAAATGAATACAAATCACAGTTACAATGAAATGGCCAGCTGTAGTAGCAAGAAAAGCAGAAGTCAATCTGCCCAAGGTCTGGCAAGTACTATTTCTAGTCCAGCTATGAAAATCCCCCTACCACCTCGATTATGGATAACAGGTAAAATAAATATGTATGCACTAAATCACTTTGAAATACATTGTTGATTCTTTTACTATTACATCTTTATTTGTATTAATATGGTAATATTCTTACTTATTTATAAATATACATGCTATGGTATGGTTATCTTGCAATAGGATGTAAACTCTTCTGAATGCAATATATCTCAATTTATAATCAAATATCAAAAATATAGTTTAATTAAACTGTACATTAAAGTTTTACATAATGTTTTTGAATTAGAATGTTTTTAAAAAAACACATGGTCCTCTTTGTCATTCAAAGAGTCTTCATGTTAAAGGTTTGGTGATAATTATTGACATTATGTTGGCAACTTAATGAAATCAACATTAATCGACCGGAAGTTGACGCCGGTGACGCCATCTTGCGGCGCACAATGACGTTCACGTGCAAGATGGCGACTATATAAGCAAGCAACCGACCTAAGCATGGCAGTCTTAGTTCCGCTCGCGCTGTGACAACTAGTGTAAATTATAAAATAAAGTGTTGTGATTATTGATAGCTATGTGTGATGTATGCAAATTAGTGAATAAATAGTTTGATGATTGAAAGTGAGGTTTTAGTTAACATCAGAAGTGGGATATTAGGCGCCAATGGGCTCTCGCAGGAAGCGCTCTAAACGTCGCGAAAGACGCTCGAGTTCGACGTCGAGTAGCTCGAGTAGCGCTCGAACACCGTCGCCCTCACCGAGACAAAGGAAAAAGGTAGCACACAAAACTGACACCGCGACTGTAAGTACAAACAACAGCTTAATATTGTGCAATATCATACCAGAATTTGACCCGTTAATAGACGACGTAAATGCATGGCTTAATATTATCGAATCTTACTCTCAAACGTTTGCCTGGTCGGATGAAGTGATTCGCTATCAAGCTTTGAACAAATTGAAAGGTTCCGCTAAAACATGGTACGACTCCTTATTACATACTGAATATCAGTGGCCATCTTGGAAATGGAAAGATTGGCGAATAAAGCTATCGGCTTGTTTTCAAAGTAGGAGAAATATTTTTGATCTTCTAAAAGAAATACTCGATAAAAAACCCATAGAAAATCAATCTTTATACGATTTTTACTTTGATCAAAAATGTAAAATCGATCGTTTGTCACTAAACTTTACACAACAAGATATTATATCTATTATTTTAGGGAACATAGGAGAGGCAAATTTATTAGCATCAATAGACGCTAATCAGTTTACAACATGTGATAATCTAGCAAGTTTTTTGCATGGTCGAATATACAAATCCAAATTTCCTAAATCTTCAAATGTTCCTTGTGAAAACCAACCACGACAAACCGTCGCACAACCAACTACTTCCTCCACAAATGGAGGTAGTATAACCATAATAGATCAAACTGTTCCATCTGGTTCACTAGCGACCATGCAGAACATACAACGTAAATCGTTAAAATGCTTCATTTGTGGTGGGAATCATAAACGAAATCAATGTGATAAAAATAAATGCGACTTCTGTGGGAAAAGGGGACATTTAGAAGCTGTATGCTTTCACAAAAAACTGACGAAAACCGAAACGCACGAAACTAAATTTATTTCTACCCCCAACCCTCGTAACAAATTCGTTAAAAATATAATACTAAATCACGTGAAGTGTGAAGCTTTTATAGATACTGGAAGTAGTTGTTCGTTAGTGTCAGAGTCATTCGCAAAGAATAATTGCTTTGAAATTAGTCCTTTATCCTCTCCGATTTTATTGCAAGGATTTTCTAAACAATCCTCAAAATTTGTGAGTCATAAGATAACCGTTGATTTAGAAATGGACTCTATAGCTTTAACGCAAATTGACATTTATGTGCTTGATGATTTGATGGATTATGATATTTTGATAGGTAGGAATGTAACTGAGCGATCAGATTTGATGTACATACGTGTAGGAAATACCTTTAGGTTTCATTATGCAATAGGGTACAGCGAATCCTGTAAAAGTATCAATGAACTAGATTTAGACACCGACTCTCATCATAACGAGTTAAAATGTATTTTCAGTATATATAGAGATTGTGTAGCACTCAATACTAAAGAGTTAGGGAAAGTTAATCATCACGAAATGGAAATTAACGTTAACAATATACAACCGATTCAGTGCAGACCTTTTAGGACTTCTAATAACGATAGAAAAATAATACGTGATATAGTAAATGAACTTTTAGAAAATAACATCATACGCGAAAGTAGATCGTCTTATGCGAGCCCCGCACTTCTTGTAACAAAAAAAAAAAATGGAGAAAAAAGACTTTGTATAGACTATCGGTTATTAAACAAAATAACTATTAAGGATAAGTACCCTATGCCACGTATTGATGACCTTATTAATAGACTTTCTGGTCACAAATGTTTTTCAAGTCTTGATTTCAAAAGTGGTTATAATATTAATGAACGAGAATTCAATACCCAAAACTGCATTCATCACGGAAGATGGCCATTATGAGTTTCTCAGACTCCTCTTTGGTTTAGTTAATGCACCATCTTGTTTTCAATATATGATGAATAAAGTTTTAGGTAATTTAAGGTTTAACAATGTAATAGTTATTTAGATGATATTTATCTTGTAACAAATACGGTGGAAGAAAATTTGAAGTTATTAGAACAGATATTGCAAATTTTTAGGATGAATGGTTTGACTCTGAATCTAAAAAAAGTGTCATTTCTTCAAAAGTGAAATAGAGTTCTTAGGTTATCGAGTAAAGTCTGGGAAAATTATGCCAAATGAAGCGAAATTAGAATCAGTTAGGCAGTTTCCAAGACCCAAAACAGTACACCAACTTCGACAGTTCATTGGTCTAATAAGCTATTTTCGGAAATTTATTAAAAATTGCGCAATGATTTTGGTGCCTTTGACAAAACTGTTAAAGAAGGATACTACCTGGGCTTGGGAAGACAAACAAGAAGAGACATTTCAATCGTTAAAAAATAAATTAACATCAGATAATTTCCTGTCTATTTTTGATCCCAATAGAGATAGTGTTTTATACACTGATGCTAGTCGAGAGGGTATTGCAGGAATACTTATGCAAATTACAAATGAGGGAGAAAAACCAGTCCATTATTATAGTAGGCAAACTACCGAAAATGAAAAATTATACCATTCATTTGAATTAGAACTGTTGGCAATTATTTGTTCGCTCCAAAAATTCCGCCTATATCTGTTAGGTTCAAATTTTAAAATCATAACTGACTGCAGTGCTGTACGATATGCGCTCACTAAAAAAAAAAAAATATTGTCCCACGCATAGCTCGATGGGTATTAGCTACACAAGAATTTTTATTTGAAACTAGCTGACCCGACAGACTTCGTCCTGTCAAAAAGATTTGTAATGTGGCAGTTTTTTTTTGCCTACGTATTTAAAAAAATTCTGCGTGCCGAAACTAATACAAAAGAAACGCGAGTTTCGGAACGCGACATTAAACTCCTCCAACTATGTATTCTGTGCTCCAACGCACACACGCACATTGTTTTGATAGATATGATCTTTGACGTTAGGAACACACCTACATTGCTTAGACAACAGTGAGTGCTTGTAATTTAATATGAACTTTATACCATAGCAATAAAGCTCAAATTGACTACGTTTTAGTTACAAATCATTTGTATGGGAAAAAGAAAAGGGCTATTTTTAGGGTTTTTCCAGCAATAATTCTAATTTTTCTCGCCGTAAAAACCATCCTTGAACTTCAACGAACATTTTAAAAAAAGATTTGGCCAAATTGGTCGAGGCGTTGTTGAGTTATGCGCTTACCAACACATTTTGCGATTCATTTTTATATATATATAGATAGATTGTCCATAGAGCAGGTACACGTATGCTGCATGTTGATGCATTAAGTCGAAATCCTGTAGTTTCGGGGGGAAAAGTCTGAAGTTGAAATCATTATGTCCATTACTGAAGCAGATTGGTTGCTGTTAGTGCAAACACAAGACTCTAAAATTCAACAATTAAAATCAATTTTAGAATCGGGAGAGGCCGACCAAAATAGAGATGTTTTTGACAAATACGAATTGCTTGGGTCAAAAGTTTACAGAAGAACAGCAAAGGGTCGTCGATGGTCGGTACCAAAAAAATGTATTTGGCAAATAATTAAATACAACCATGATGACATTGGACATTTTTCTGTAGACAAAACTGTAGAAAGAATATCAAAGTTTTACTGGTTTCCCCACATGCGTCGTATTATAAAAAAGTACATAAAAAATTGTTTAAATTGTATATACTTCAAAAACAAAGGGGGTGCCAAGGAAGGCGAATTATTTCCAATGCCAAAATATGCTCAACCTTTTCATACACTTCATTTAGACCACTTGGGTCCATTCAAAGTCAAAAAACTTGTGGGAAATGACAGATATGAGGTAACGGATCTTAAAGGAAGTGAAAGATCCTTTAAAAAGTATACTGGCGTGATAGCGGCTGAAAATATGAAGCCGTGGATTAAAATAGACAACTGGAATGAATCTGAATAATTACGTGATTATATTATGTATATAATAGATATTCGTGTTGGCAAGGTAAACACCTTAATATACTGTTTTTGGTATCTTACCTAATTCATAGTTTATTAAAAATAGAACACATAAAAAAAAAAAATTATGTATACAAGTAAAATATTACATCAGGCATAACAATTTGGTTTATAAAGTAATACGAGTATACACGTAAGGTTTGCGAGTCAAGATAAAATGCTTTAACTTATATTTATGTCACACATTAATAATTGTTGTAAACATATTGAAAGGTACATAGGCATAATTGTGAGTGAACTTGGTACGCTCAAGTGGGTATATCCCTTTGAGTGCAAGTGGCTCTATTGTGCAGGGTGGAAGACTAACTTGGTCTCTTAAGTGCGGCAGAGTCCCTTTAAGTGCAAGTAGTTTTCTAACAGACAAACAAATGTGGAAACAGTTACTTATGTGTGATATTAGTAACAATATGACCGCATTACCTTACACCTTTATTAAGTATATGTTAAACTACTAATAATAACATATAACTTTTAAATATTTCCTGTAACTGACTTGTTATTTTAATAAATAGAAATTAAAAATACCTAAAACCGTCGGTATTCCAAGGTAAATAAATAAGTTACCTAAATATAGTTCATGCGTGTAAACATACTGACTCGTATATAAGTGAGGTAGGACGTGTTGAACCAACTCGGTATGCTTAAGTGAGGTTATTGCCCTTTGAGTGCGAGTGGTTGCAAAAACTAAGACTAACTTGGTCCCTTAAGTGTGGTAAATTCCCTTTAAGTGCAAGTGGTCTTCAGTTTAGTCGTCACGGAAACAAAGACGAACTTGGTCTCTTAAGTGTGGTAAATTCCCTTTAAGTGCAAGTGGTCTTCAGTTTCAAAATATTCTGTTTGCGATCAGTATGTGAACATGTTAAGAAGACTGAACATTATACGTGTGACATTTACATTATTTCATATTTAATTTCATATTATCAGTTTCAGTATATTCCATAAAATTGTGGCGTCTGGGGCAAACGCCTTGCAGAATGGCCGTGTTGGCAACTTAATGAAATCAACATTAATCGACCGGAAGTTGACGCCGGTGACGCCATCTTGCGGCGCACAATGACGTTCACGTGCAAGATGGCGACTATATAAGCAAGCAACCGACCTAAGCATGGCAGTCTTAGTTCCGCTCGCGCTGTGACAACTAGTGTAAATTATAAAATAAAGTGTTGTGATTATTGATAGCTATGTGTGATGTATGCAAATTAGTGAATAAATAGTTTGATGATTGAAAGTGAGGTTTTAGTTAACAATTAATTGTACAATTGTAATCTCTTAACAATAAATTAATGTCAGGGCACTATCAATCAAGACATACACTTGAATTAAGTATTATTTTTAAGTAACATTGACCACATGCTTGAAAATACTATATTAAGTAACCATATGCTAGAATACACAATATGAAGTGACCACATGCTAGAATATACTATATTCGAGCTTGTGGTCACTTCATGGTGTTTTAGTTTCAGTGATGTAATTTTATTATATATATAATGTATATTGAAAATAAACTAAATACTCCGTTGAAGTATAAAAATATTAAGAGTAAGTAAATAAACTTAGCTGTATGGCTTAATAAAAATATTGTTCTGTCAATAGTCATGTGTATATGTTTTAGTTATCTATTATTTGTTGATTTTTTTTTTGCCAAAATGTACACATTCCTTTATTTTCAGATGCCGAAGATGAATCATCAGATGATGAAGATGTAGATAGTATTAATGAAGATGAGACATTGGCAGTTGAACGACCTAGAGTTCGATCTCGATTTCGACATCATAAGCAAAGACTGTATAGTGTACCTATTGGTATTTTCTGGGATATTGAGAATTGTCAGGTAAATAAATATTCAGTTAACAAAAAGGATATTGCAACATTTTACAGGTTATTACTTTGCTATCTTTATGAATCATTCTTAAAACAGTAATTTCTTGAATTAGTTTTGTTTAAGTATTCTTTAAATTAATGTGATATATTAAAAAAAACAATAAACATCATACACACTGTGTATAGTTTATAGATGAAAGATGTAAGGAACTATAAATGTTGTAAAAATATTACACACAAACTTATAATTATTTTTTGTGTAGTAATGAATTATTAGTGGGATTTTAACCATGTCTTATTTTATTAGAGTAAATGAAACATTTGTGATCACAAAGTAGCTTTGTAACTGTTGCATGCTATTCATGGAACTTGCAACAGTGCCTGGGTTTTTCTGCAGAGGTTGACCTAGTATGTAGATACATCCTTTATTATTGTTCTTAAAAAATAATTCAATGTGATTGATATTTTTTTATCAGCAATATCATATCATAATCTATATCTATTTTAAAATAAAAAAAAATATCAGTCAAGGTTCCTTATTTTTGAGGAATGGTAATGAAGATGTAACAGATGAAGTTCGGTTTCCCTAGAATCACCCTTTCTAAATATTGGCGACTACCATAAAATAAGGTACATGGTGAAAATTCTATTATTAATATAGTATTTTAACGATGGATTAATTACATATCAATTTTAAAAAATACCATTTCCACTTTTCACAGGTTCCGAGGGGATGTTCTGCTATAGATGTGGTAGCTGCTATAAGAAATAAATTTTTAATTGGTAAAAGAGAAGCTGATTTTGTAGTTGTATGTGATGTAAGGAAGGAAGCAGCAAATAGATTGCAAGAACTTAATGATGCTCAAGTAAGTCTTCCATAATTATTCTCATTACTTTGACCATCTGTTCTCATAGTTACACCCAAGTATAAGTTTATTATCCTTATTGATACATTTAAGTTAGAATATTTAATCCCACTACATATATTCTTTGCAAGACATCCTTAGGGCCTGTGCACTATGTATTTAAAAACAAGTGACAATCTGACACACATTTTTCAAATGTATACAGTGCATTTAAAAAACTCTGTGTACACAGGCTCTAAGGCTCGCCATACAAAACAGAAGCATAACTCTTGAGTTTGAGCAAATTCTTTCTATTGCACATTCAATATCAGTTCTCGAAAACTATGTGTCACCCTAGTAGCCAATTGCACAAAAAATATTATTTTAAGCATTTTGTATTAAGAATAATTAATTAATATTAATCTTAATACAATTAATTAAGAATAATTTTCAGTAGTGCATTGTGAATGCAAAATTAATCAAAATATAATTCATCAATATTGTCATCACTTCAAAGCGACATTACTGATACAAATTTGAGATTCATTTGAGATTAAAGGCATTATTAAACCTTAATGGACGATTATGCAACTGACCATATACCTTATTATTAAAATCAGTAAATTTAGTATTAAATTATTATAGGAAGGCTGAACTGATCTTTTTGCAGATTCTTTTGTGTATGACAACAATTTTTTTTCTGTAGTTATTTTTTACTCACATGTTGTCTGCAGGTTAGCCTGATTCATGTGTGTGGTACACAAAAGAATGCTGCAGATGAAAAGTTGCGACAATGTATGAGGAGGTTTGGGGAGCTTCATTCAGCACCAGCAGCTTTACTTTTAATCTCGGGAGACATCAATTTTGCTGCTGATCTAAGTGATTTTAGGCATAGGTAACTTTAGCAAAATTATTTGTATGCTTCTGTTTTATATAAATAGCTGGTATGTTCTACTTTATATCGTAAAGGGCGATGCATATTAGAGTACTAAGATATGTGGCACATAACTTAGCAGCTGAGCTTCACAACAAAATTACATGCCATGTTTTCAGAGTTTTCAATGTTTTTTTATGTCCTTTGTTCATATATTTAGATTTCCATCAGTCTATCATTGCTCACAAAAATAATTGTTCTAACTTTTAATGAAATAGTATTGTACCTATTACGTTTTTATTGGTCTTGAATTTTTTGAGCAAATTACTTGTGACGAACCGACGGATAAACTCGATTTTTTGATGTACTGGCCCTGTTAAATGATCATTTTATTAGCATCATGGCTATCCGGTTTTGAATATCTTTATATGGGCAATGAAAATAATCATATTCGCCACTGCTATTCTATATAATTAGACGTAATTAAGTAGATAAGTAGTAAGTAGATTATAATTTCAATTCAATTAAGCTCATAAGTACCTACGCTTATATTTATTAGTCTATTTAATAATTTAAGATTAAGTTAAAAATCTACTTACTACTTATCCACTAATTTACGTGTAAACCAAACATAAGTTAATAATTAAGTATGCTTGAAAAAGTAAAAATAATTTGTACAATACAACCTTATAAATATTCCATTAAGGAAGTTTGTCAATGGAAACTGTGGCCAAATTGTGTAACTTTAAAATCTGTCGTAAACCCTTTCAAACTCATAGCGATTGTGATGGAATTATGTAACTTTTAAAGTCGTTATTGCTTTTGAAACAAATATATTAAAACTTAATTAAACCCATCGAAAGATTGCAGTTAACATTCAATTCTTTTGTCATTTTTCAGTACTTAAACGTCACTTAAACAGATTTTCGTTTTTGATTTTAGTTTTTTAATTATCAGTTCGATAAAAACTATTTTTTTTTGCCTTGCGAAAATTAAAAAACTAAAGTTATTGAGAATGATCAATTGAGATTTTGTACTTTTCTCAATTCAGTGACCAGCCCTGTGACAGTTAAAATTAAAGTCAGATAAAAGATATTGTTCATTAAATATTTTTCTAAAAATATAGCGATCGCATTCTCTGTTACTTATCAAATAGTTTTAGCATGAAGTTCGTGAAATTTAAATATTAAATTGAAAGGGATTGTGCTAGATTTTAAAATAAGACAATCAGGCCATAGTTCAAATGCGTTGAGTGTAAAAGAGCAAACTTCCTTGACCATAACATAAACAGTAGGAATTTACATATTTACAAATGTAATTATTTTATTTTATTATTATCAATTTTATTATATTTATGTATCAGGAAAAATATGGAAGTGATATTGGTGCATAAACAGAACACGTCGTCTGCCTTAATAACTTGTGCCTCGACTCATTACTGTTTCAATGAACTGACCGCCCATCTACCGAGGAACCCCAAGGTACTAAATTCAGACCTTTAAACTGGATACACATTATGATAGCAGTTGCATTATACCAAAAAATAATTTTCACGAAACTATTTTCGTACGTATGTAATTGTATGAAACTTACAAATTTCATGAAAATAATTTCGGAAAATGTGAAACTATAATATTCTTTGTATTTTACACTAGTAAAACTATATACAATTTTATATTTATATACACACATCACTATGTTACTAAAAATATATACAATTATACACACATCACTATAAAAAATTTGTTAACTTAATAACAGGTGAGTCAAACAGAGGAGGATGAAGAGCCTACTTGCGAGATGGAAGTTGCCAATCTGCCCTTGGATCAACCACCGGAACGTGTATCGAAAAGGTTGAGGAGGTTGGCTGATAACTGTGGCGGAAAGGTGATTAAGTTTTGTCTGTTTTTTATTGAAAGTCGACAATACAAGGTTTATTTAATTCAAGATGCATATTTACGGAATCGTAATCGCAATATTGGTTAACTCGATTAGTTTTATTAGTAACTGGCCGTTTTCTTGCGATTTCGTAAATTATTTTACACCGCGTAAATTATAGCCTGTGTTGCACGCGTATGATAAAATATTTCTTTGGGTGAAAAAAAAATCGGATCTAATTGTCCAATTTTTTATCGCAGTCCTTTTCAATTTGATATTTCAAAGATATTCACGAACTTCACGCTACAACTATTTATCATGTGATAGCGGTCGCGGTGTTTTTCTTTTCAAAGATATTTAATGAAAAATATTGTTAATTTGACCTTAATTGGAATTGTCTAAGGCAAGCATTGGATGCAAATATTACTTAAAGTTTAAACCTTTATTATGTTTCTTGCTAATTCAAATATCATTCGTTTCGGAAGCGATTACGACTTTTAAAGTACGTAATGCCAAAAATAACTATCGTAATCGCTTAACCATTAAAAATTAATCAATAGGGATGACGACTGGGTAAAAAAAAATTCTATTTAGTCCGTCAGTAAGATAATAGAAAATCTTCAATTTAACAAGACATATCTTAGATACGATACAGTCACAGTTTTGTAGAAAATTTACAAAAGCGTGACGTCATGTGTCATTTTAACTCAATGTGCCGCCGTAATTTATTGATTGTGAAAAAAATAAAAAGTAAGTGTTTAATATTTTTCAACAATCTACCTGACGGACAAACAAACAAAATTAGTCGTCATCCCTAATAGGCCACGGTGTTTCCGAAAATTACCCCATACAAAACAAAGAAGTAGTTAAAAAATTTACCTTTTTATAATTGGCGTCAATTTAATCCGCTTCATCGGAACTGACACTTAAATATACTTAACATGCCGTAGCCGAGTGGTTCGCACGCCGGTTTCTAGGTGTTGCCATCTCTGAGGTCCCGGGTTCGATTCCCGGTCGGGTCAATGTAGAAAATTAACTTTTCTATATTGTCTCGGTGTCTTGGTGTTGTGATACCTTCGTCAGATACGGGGGCTTTAGCTACTTATCTTGGAATCTAAGCAATGTACGTGATGTTGTTTAATATTATGAATGATTTATGCCTGACTAGTGGACGCCCGCGACTTCGTCCGCGTGGAAGTCGGTATCCCGTGGGAGTGAGAAGTTTTCCCAGTAAAAAGTACCCTATGTGTTATTCTGATGTATAACCTATATTGCTGTAAAGTTTTATCCAAATCCGTCCAGTAGTTTTTTCGTGAAAGAGTAACAAACATCCATACATCCATACTTACAAACTTTCGCCTTTATAATATTAATAGGATAGGATAGGATTTAAAGCTTCAAAATGCCTTTATTACTATTGTTCCTGAACGATATGTGGTATTTTTATATTTATACAATTTTATGTGAAAAATAAAAAGCATTATAGCAGTATAGTGCCGTTAATTAAGAAGAAAAAATAATTTATACTCTTTGTTGTTAGGTATTGCGTGTGACTGCTCCCACTGCTATGCTGAGGTTTCCAACACCCGACCACGCTTCAAGGTAAGTTTCTTAGTAGATTTCGTTAATATATTTTAATATCATAAATGAATGAATAGCTTATTGTACACCACAAATAAGACCTACATAAAAACATAAATAAACAGTACAATCGGAAATCGTATTGCTGAAAAACAATTTCTACCAGACAATCTTATAATGTTGTAGGATTTACTAAAATATGAGAAGCTACCCTTCTAAGCGGTGTATACAAAGTAAGCAAATATAATATAAAATTTGTTTTTAATTTTTATTAAATCACAATAAGACTAAATTAATGTTAATAATAGTTTAATAGGAGCTTTTTACTACGACAAAATAGTCAGGGGCTTTTTAGGGTTTCGTACCTCAAAATAGATAAAATCTGTAATAAAATCATTCTCCTCTCGTGTTTCTCAATCATCCGCCCATTAATCTTGTTACAATAACAATTTCTGTAAAACTACTGGACCCAAAAGTACATCGATAAAAATATATAACATACTTACACGAACTTTAATATTCTATTTCAGCTATAATGTTGTATGTTGCATATATCTATCGGTCGTTTAATCATTTAAGTGTAATATGCGTAATGCCTCAATTATATTATTTACGATCACTGTTTAGAGATGTTTCACTCGATAATATTTTTAACATAATGATTCGATTACACTTGTATTTTGTTTACATTAACAAAAGATTCTTTCACAATAAAACGAAGTATACTTTTTGGCTTGACAAATAGTTAAAAATAACTACATAAGAGATTATCAATCTTATGGAAATTAAGCTACTTAAACGCTCTCATCATTGAATATTTTTTTTATAAAATATTGTTAGATCTATTCATAGTATTGAAAATATGTTGTGTACTGCACTTAAAAGAACTAAACAAAAACTTAAAGAAGCATTTTAGTGAAACGCAAAACGTTTTAATGAAAACAAAAACAAATATTACCATGACTAAGCTGTATGAGTTGACCGGAGATACTCCGCTGCGAGTTTTATCAGGTAGGCCAACCACGCTTTCATCTTGCTGTTTGAGTAGGAGGTTAGCGGTTGGAGAGCTCTGATTAGGCCAAGGTGCAATTCCTCTGCGTTAACAAAAACAGGCTGTACGGGTTAAGATCCCTATGTCTAAAATGAAATTATAACTACTTTACACAATTTTATTCTGTAATATGTATATAAATTTTGTATGTTAATACGAGTCCTCAACTTTGATAAATGCATTGTGACAATGTACGCTGAGTTTATTTACACTAAACACATAATCGGCTTATGTATGACGACTTCGTCATAGATAAGCCGGTGATTCAAAAACGAACGTGTAATACAAATAACTAAATCATTAGGGTGTAATAAGAAAATTCAAAAAATAATCAATGTATGATCGAAATCACAAGTAAACAATTTTAAAGTTATGTAAGTAAACATGACAACTAGATCCCTGAAACTACATCTAAATTAAAAAAAAAGCATAGAATATATGTCTTACCTATAAATTTCAAGAAATCATATCCGAAATCCATAAGTTTTTTAAAATCTTATATGCGCGGGAACCCTTTGTGCGCTACTCGCTCGCGCTTCGCTGATTGGTTTTTATTAATTACATATTAAAAAATCACAAAACGTTCATATTAGTTGTAAATTAATGTCTGTTTATGAATCTGAACTTGTTAAAAAACCCAGTTTAAAATTTTGAGAAATTTTCAAGAAGGGAATTCATACAATTCATAAACATTCCTAAACGAAATGGAAGTCTTCTACCTACATAATTCCCTAACAAAATTTCTAACAGTTATTTAAATCTCCGTTTGTATACAAATATTTGAGGTCTACCCTCATTTATTTGTAAATAACAATATATTTAAATTATCGGTCGGTCGTTGTCATTGCACCATCAGGCACAAGCACGGACAAGGTGATATTTAAAAATTGTATTTTAAATTGTGCAACGGTTTCTTGGAGCATAAGTAGTTTTTATATTTGATTAAAATTAATGAGAAACGAAATCGTCCAAGAAATATGCTGCTTTCAGGGTAAGATTTGCCATTTTAATATTGACAATACCGAATTTATGTAAAAAAATGGTTGAAATTTTATTTTTGTATACTCGTATCCTGTTTTAGATTTAACGTAAGCTTAATTGATTGTTTGTCGTGATAACATGTAAATTAACTACTGCCATATACGTTTTGTTGGTAGATCGTGCTTCTCGATCAGTCAGCTGTTACAAGATGTATTTGTTTGTTTGAAAAACGGTCAACGGTGCCTGTAGATTCAAAACCTAGCGCTATCATATAAAGCATTAGCATCGAGCATTTAAAATATGATCATATATAAAAGATTATTTATATATTTCAGATGATATTATTTTCGCTAAAAACGTAGGTAAACATGACTTTTTAAATATGGTTTTTAATGATAATTATTTATATTTTGATTTTGTGATGTTGTTCATTAGAAACCAATAATATTGCGTGCTTTTGTGTTTGTGAATTTGCTGATTGATATTTTTTTTATTGTCAATATTCTCTAAATAGTAAAAAAGTGTGTTGATGGTTTGGTTATAATTTACATTTGAAGGATTTTTCACTGATTTCTTAATATGGTTAGGTAGCTTTTAAAATATAATGCCTATTTTGAGTGTTCAAAAATAACGGTTTTTAGTAATATGTAGGTACCTTCCCTGTGATACTTTTTCACACTTAGTAAAAGAGATCTTGCAAAGAATTATGATTTTCTTAAAAAAAACGAAGTTTTTGGTAAAAGTAAATAGTTTTGGTAAAAACGAAGGTGATTAATGTTTATTTTTTAGGATATATTATTATTTACATATTACAACTTTTGCAGCAGAGCAGTTCAATATAAATAAATTAATAAAAAGTCTTATGGATACTTTTGATTCAATGTATTTAATAGAATCGTGGGTAAACATAATATATTATGGTTCGATGTACAACTCTCGAGGTAGTTTAATATAAATATCGAAAACAGTTCTTCTTTTTATGTTATCATAAAAACTTTGCTTGATAGTTATTTTTATTTAATTAAAATACCACAAAGGAACACTCACGTACATAGGCAGATGAACACATCACCCTCTTTTGTGCGACACAGTCGCAGTCGGATAAAATGAAATGTAGTTTTTTGGTGGTCCTATTTTTCATGTTAACTCGTCTATCTATAGATATTTAAAAATCAATTGCTGTTCGTTTGTCTCGCTAAATCTCACGTGCATCTGGACTGAGTGATCCCTTTTTCAGTTTTCAACAAAACCTTAAATTTAGTAAATATTTGTCAAAACTCACAATCAAAAAATTTGTCACTCTTAAGCGATCGAAGATATTGCCCAATATGTGAAACACTCAATTCAGACATTAGACAAAATGGCTACAAGCCGAATCTCAATAAATACGTATGCTATGACTAAAATTTTCATATCAAAAATTTGTACAGAATTTGTCACATTATTTTACAAAAAATCAAGATAAATCCAAAATTCTACGATAGTTTCAATCCTGACGCATTTAGATTGAGTGATTCTAGAAATACGGCTATATGCTCACAAAATACATCATAACTTTAAAGGAACTTTTAAATATATTTGCACAAATTAATTTCACACCACAAATGTTTATAGTTAAAAAGCCCAATCAAAGCTTTTTAAATTTCCTGAATTGAGTGATCTTCATAAACGCATGTAGATAACAACCCCTTGGTATAATGTAATTTACAAAATACGTTGAAAATTTGTACAACATTGTGCCTAAAATTTGCCATATAATTTATTCGTTAACGTCATTTTATTCACAAGATATTAGTTTTTTAATTTGTTGTTAAAGAAATATAACAGTAGGGTGACCATAATGCGAATTTATTGGAAACTTAAAAGCTATATAAGTACGGTACTAAGACTAACACTCGTATCAATAGTCGAGAGAAGTAATTATTTGAGAAAATGGCCACAGCCTAAACAGATATTTTTAACAAAGAGACGAGAATTTAAATGAAGTAAGAACTGTTAATAGCTAATTATCATTAGCTATTAACAGTTCTTACTTCATTTAAATTCTCGTTATATATCGATGTAAATTATCATATAAAACCATTTTCCAAAAGTGTGCATATTCCCTATTGCGGCAAGCGAATTTGTGGTACGATAGTATGGAGTACGGAACCCTTCGTGCGTGTCTCTGTCTCTTTTGAAATTTATTATGACTTTAGTTTTTTTCTTATTTACTATGACTTTAGTGTTGAAATGAATTCTTGTTCAGTCGTGTACAATATTTTTATTGATTACTTTTATATTTTTGTTTATTATTAGAGCATTGAAGCGTATGGACGGCGAAGATGTGTTCGGTCGCAAGATTAGCACTCGATATGCACGCATCGTATTACAGCCGGCATATTCTAGCGACGAGGGGTACGGCACGGCTACTGCACCCCCTCCACCACCAAGACCCACCTACGTACCACCTGTGCAACAGGTATGCTGGTCTAGGTCTATACAAGTCCTAGTCCCTGCGGCATATTTGTCTCATTTTGAAATCTATCACAACCTCTTCCAATTATTACTTTTACATTACAACTATTTGAGAAAAGATACAAAAAATATTATTTATTGATTTTTTATTATCTTGCTTGACTAGTGAGCCTATTAATGCCCCCACTTCTGGGGCACAGGCCTTTTCTATGGACGAAATCGAATCAAATTGAATAAGAGAATTAGCCATGACCCACCCACGCGAGTCCAGTGCAGATTGGTGGGTACCAACGACGACAAAACGCAGGGCCGGATTAGTCCCGTAGCAATTATTGTTTGGGGCCCCACGCAATTGGGAGCCTCGCTATGGTTCAGAGCCAATTGATTAATTTTTCAAGTCAGTGTTAAATAATGCAAGAAATAAAATAAGCCACGTTTCGTCACAGATTAGTTGTTTTTCTGTTATTCGGAAAGCAAAGGATGACTTTTCTGTTTCATGGGGGGAGGGAGGGAGTGATGATTGCTACGGGCCCCGCTATGGCTTAATTCGGCACTGGCATATCGTGCCTTCCTAAGCACGGAGGAGCTCGAGAAGAAATTTTTGGTCAGCCATCCTATGATCGGCCAATGATTCTTAACAGCTGTAATGCAGACTACTAAAAATAACTTTTTTAATATGCAGTGGTTATTATCGTTATGCATTCAACCAGTTTTTTACATTAGGTTTAGTTACGTTTAAAGCATGTTTTGAATTATGTTCCACATTGAGACTGTTTAATTGTGCTTTTATTAATTTTGACCTTAACAATAAGATTTTTTGTTACCACCCACATAATCGCTTATTAACTCCCTCCTGGATATAACCTCTATCTAGGTCAGAGGTTCCCAAACAATTTTTATCTCATAGACCCCATGCTGTTACATTTTTACCATATTCCCAAAATTCGTCCAAAATGTGAAGATCTAACGATGGAAATTGGCGTTGGGGGTGAATTCTAACCCTAAATACGCCTCTTCTATTTTTATTTCACGCTAACGCAGACCCCCGTTGAAACCCTCGTGAACCCCTGGGGGTTCACCTGGACCACTTAGGGAATCACTGATCTAGGTTATGAATCATTGGCTATTGTCATGTTGTGCGCACTTAAGAAAATCATCAGAATAGCACGATAGCGTCCGTATATAAAAAAAGTTTTTTTTTTATTTCTACTTAGGCTTGCATGTCACCTCGTGAAATGCCAAGTACGAGTGCCCAGTCGGCGGCTAGCGATTGGGCTCTAGCTCTTCAGCAGTTACCCGTGCCTACGCCACCGCCGCTAGAGTTTTGCCCCCCACCCGCCCCCAAACCAAGGAAAATTAGAGGCACGCATGGTACGTTAACTATTTTTATTTTAAACATCATCTGCTATCTTCCTTAATCATCCATGCTGGCCCAATGCGGATCGATGGGTATTAACGACTGCAAATTCAGCCGGGACCAACGGCTTACCGTGCCTTAATAATTTTTTTTGGTCACCCATCCCGTGACCGACCCTTGTGAAAGTTGCTTAGCAACAACCATTGCGGGTTGCGGCGCTTATCTACTACGCCGTCCAGCTACTCTACTACTAAATAGAGCTACTTTATTTTCTACATATACCTTGATACTGATAAAATATTATAAAAGTGTAATAACTTACAGCGGGTGAACTTCTTTGAAGATGCGCTAAATATCGCTCTTGTCTATATATTTGTTGTTGCTGCATTGTCGTCATGATTATGTATTTTTTTACACGATTGTCCCAATAAGAGAGTGACTTGTGTTCATTAATAATTCTGTTTTATAATTCATTATGTGTGTTACAAGTATATAATTAGTATCGGGAATATACGACAACAATTACGGCACCTGCTCTTACCATTTCATTTCAAAAAATCCTTCCTGTATACCTATCATTATATATTATTATATACCTATCATTATTGTAACAATAGATTAAATAACTAAATATACATATTAAATCATGCTCATCCTGATCGGCGTGTCCTAAGTGAGTGTATGGCAGCTTGGGACCTTCTCAGACTCTTCTACCCCCACGTACCCCCAAGATACCGTGCGGGTATAAGGAGTCTCTCTGTTTATGCGTTTCCATTGGCCAGCTTTGAGAACTATATTAAATATAATTAGTAAAATAAGAACAATACAGATTTCGAATATGGTATTTCTTTATTTAATAGTATTGTTTCTGGTCTCCAGAGCATAAGTTATCGTTTTAAGATCAGATGATGTGTAATACCGCCATATGATTATTCCATTTACTTTTATATAGGTTCAGTGAATCTAGATCGATCCGGTTGCTCGTCAAGTAATAGTGGTGACGATACTCGTCAAAGGGAGAACAGTCAGAGTAGGGCAATGTCCCCTTGGAACTCGTCGGCCAGTTTCAGTGAGCAGAGCGAGGGTGAATGTGAATCACCAGCTGAACTAACCGTTGCAAATTTACCGCCGTACGAACCGACCGTTTTACAGGTAATATTGATACTGGTTTCTTATATTTTCACGCGCGCTATTAATTATTAAATTTAACTTATAATCGAGAATCGACAACTCCTTAATAATAGAAACATTACATTATCCCGAGTAACACTATTTTTAAATATTCAATATGGCGGATTTATGACGTCATTTAAAAATAAATATATATCTCTTCAATTATAACAATATGGTTATAACATTAAAGGTACAGATAGTTTGATGATTATATTCCAAAAAATATGTACTTTGTATACATTTATTGGTCACGAAAGGAATAAAATTAAAAAAGATTGTTTCTAATATAATAAGAGGATAAGAGGTCACCCAACTGCAATTAGATTTTTTTAGTCATGTCAAAATAGAACTTGTTTCTTTTAATTTTAGTTCGATTTTAGCAGTCGCGTTTTTAAACTTATTTTTGCCCTATTAACAGACTATAGAAACAAACACGTAACTCTTCCTTTGCAGTTAAAGGGCTAATGGACATCATCCTTCTATTCGGCCCTTTGGTGGATATATATATTAACCTCAGAAATATTTCGAACCTCATTCATGTGCCTTCATAAACACATTAAATTTGTTTATCTACACTCAAATCGAAAAATTCGAATTACGAATTCAAAGACGATTCTATAAATACGTAAATTAAAAATAAAACATTATAGTACCGCCAATTGTATCATAATAGTTATTTAAGATACGAGTGCGGAAAGTAAGGTTTTACGAATAAGGGCCAAATTGAAAACACGAGCGTAGCGAGGGTTTTCATTGGCACGAATTCGAAAAACCTTTTACGCTCAAGTTTCTTACAACATTTTTCAATGCTTTTTGGGAGGAAATAAAACAAATATATAGGTTAATAAAATTAAGTATGTATTAAAGGTAAAAATTATTTGTTAAAGTTAAACGTGATATTTGAACATGTTTTCGTGTCATACATTTTTATTTGAAAATATTCGTTCTAGGCTCCTTGAAATACTTTTGCCTCTAAAATTTGATACTCATTATAGTACCGCTATCTTTTTTTATTCATGAAACTAGTCTATGGTTTTAGGATGAATATAAAAAAATGGGGCACGCATGCGTAGTTTGAACTAATTTCCCGCGCTTCTTACATTTTTTTGCCGATCGTGTTTTTATATTCGGTATTCCAAAAAATTACTTCCTTGTAACCTACCTACTTTGTTTAATTTAAATTTTTCCTATGAGTGAAGATAAAGTAGTGTATGAAACTGCATATAACTTAGGTATTAAAACCCTGGAGTCTGATACAGACTCTCGTGTTTTAATACCCCTTCTTATATGACAGTTGCATAAACTACTTTTATTAAATCTGTCACTTTTCCGCAACCATAATGGCAGAAAGAATGCGTTTTAACGCTCATATATGTATTGTTTTTAACAGGAAATGCTGACCCAACTGTTCAACCAATACGTACAAGTAATAAGAGTGTCCGTCTGGGCAGCCGGCGAAGGCCCAATAGCGACAATAGTGTTCCGTTCCGAATGGGATGCTCGTTTAGCTATAGCTCGTATACACAAACGTCGTCTCGACAACCAGTGGAACGGTCGCAGATTAGAACTGTCGTTAGGAAGACCGTCCCCTGCACCTAATCTAGACGTCCTTAGAGCTAGACTCCGAGCGATTCTATTAGATCAGAACAACCATACTTTGCCTCTGCTAAGGTTGAGAGATGCGTACGCTAGTCGGCATTGTTGCGCTCTAACAACATCGGATATTGCAAGAGTTAGAGACACTGTTGTTATACACGAAGGGTTCGGACGTATGGTGCAACTTGTTGATTTAACACCGGTATCTAATGCCGAAGTGGAGGAGGCGCCGTGGAAATGTCACATCCACGCTTCTATTAACACGGGCCATGAGGACGGTAGTCGCATATTGCAACCTGTCTGTATGGAGATCTCAGTATTAGCCAAAAACACTTGTGTGCTTCTGGAGAAGCATTGCGGGATATTGCCTTTGTTAAGGTGAGTTGGTTTTTGGTTAGCTTTATTGTGTGAATGTTAATATGGCTTGTTTTTATATTTAACAAATCATTGAAGTGTAGTAGGACCGTATTTACTCTTTTATAAAATTGTTTATTCTTGTAAAACTTTGCTAAGTTGATATCAATTTAGTTAGTTTAATTTATTTTTGCGTTAATAAATAACAATATTGTTCAATATTCTTAATGAAATATCTCAGGTACTCTGAGATGGGACTCGAACCCACGACCTTTCGCAATCCGGACTATTGCTCTGACCACTGACCTGACCAGGACCTAACAGGACTGACGAATTTTTCAAGCACTTGTTACTTTTCGCTACTATATAGCTAATTTTGATCAATGTTCAGTCAATCCACCCAAACAGCCGAAAGAAATATTTTTTAAACTTCCCATTAAGATTACTTCCAATGGTGAATGCAAAATTGATGAAATATAGAAATTGTTTAAATTAAAAGAAATATGCTTAAGTTTAAATTCGTATAAATAATTTCAGTAAATGCTCATTCTTTGCAATGTATATTCTCAATATTTATTTAGCTCCCATTTTTTTCATGTCGGAGTGGTCTATTGCGAATTTTTCAGAAATTATTTTCCTTAAAATCTTTTAGCGACTTGATAAATAAATTGCTCCTATATATATAGTTTCTTTCGAAAGTCCATGCTCAGTTTCTTATAAAAACATTTTAGAATGTTTTCAAAGTAGACCTCTCATGTATGTTTTTGATGGGATACATTTTTCAATCGTAGTTTCGTCGAATGCTACGAGGCGATGTTCCCGCCGCTCGTAGCTGATCCACGACGTGGTGTAGCGCTGGAGCTGCTACTGCGTAGCGTGCCCGGTATAGAGGTGAAAGATAGCCCATCTAGGCACCTAGCGTGGCGTGCAGACGGAACTGATACTCCGCCCACACACACTAACCAGAGTGAGTTTATATTACAGCACAATACCACATAATTGAGTACCACATAAACAATACCTAACAATTATATTATCCATCTGTGTATTTAACAAACTCATTATAAATAAAATGATTCCCATTTTTAACAACTATCAAATATAATTCTTATAGAGAAAATTACAATTACACAACATACAAAAATAAAAATAAAAAATATTAAAAGCCCCTGTTTATAAAAAATATTTTTTTTATTATGTGATTTCTCAGATATTCTTTTGCTTATTTTTTGATAATTTAAAGCATTAAAAAATAAAGTTTATTCAATTATAAATGTCTTTTCAATATCGTTGCTAGTAACTACAGATAATTTTTCAAAAATGATTATCTTGATACTTATGAACCGATTTTTAAACCTTTTTAGGTTTGCAAACACTTCAAAACTTTATGTGAAGATAACGATGCCTTGACAATAGATTATGTTTATAAAACAGGTGAAAGTTCACGTTCAAGTGGTGAACGTGATCGGCCGAGGACAGCACCTGCTCTAGAGCCAATGTTAGCTTTATTCGAAAGGGAACTTATAGATTTGCTGCGAACTGCGCCTCGATGCTCTATACCGTTCAGCAAGTAAGTATATATACGCACTGTCACCATCACCATCAGCCCCTTTACGTCCCCACTGCAGGGCCTTATGGATGGTCAAGGAATATGGGCCATGACCCCCCACGCTGGCCTAAACTCGGAATGGTGGGTATTAACAACTGCATATACAGCCGGGACCAACGGCTAAACGTGCCTTCTGAAGCACGAAGTAACTAGAGATAATAATTGTTCCGGTCACCCATCCCATAACCGACCCTTGCGAAAGTTGCTTAACAACAACGATCGCGGCTGCGGCGCTTATCCACTACGCCATTGAGCTACTCTATATATGCACTATGGTGTTATCAATCTGTGGGCTAACTGTCTAATTTCAAAATTTATTCAACCCCTTTCTAAGGTAAAAATATTGTGATAGCGACTTATGGAATTATCTAACTTTTAAAGTAACGATCGATGTCGTTGATAATTTGCACTAATGGGATGGTTTAGCGGTTTTATACTCTCACTTTCGCTTTTTATTAAATACTTACATAAATAGGTAATTAACCAAGTCAATATAGTCGATATTGTAACAAAACTGCTCAGGTTAATAAAATTAAGAAACATACAGTAATTTTTTGTGTTTATTTACTATTGTATTTTTCGTAGATTAATACCAGCGTTCCATCACCACTTCGGCCGCCAGTGTAGGGTAGCTGATTATGGATTCACGAAACTTCCAGATCTTCTAGCAGCTCTGAGCAACACTATTGTGGTAATTCAGTATTTGTTTTTACACCTATCATGTTTTTGTTAAATATTATGTGACCTTATAACGTTATCGTCTCGTATCGCTACCCATAGAATTGAGGTATCGTTACTGCGAAATAGTGTGTATTGATGTATATGGTGGTGTCAGCGACCTATATCGCTCTGTACAACAAAACAGAGTTCTATGGATAGCGATACTTGTCTTTTTTAGCGATTTCTCCGATAATGATACCGAATAATATCAGTTTAGTTTTTATATAAATAAATAAATTAATATTTCTATATGTACTTGTTCCTCATCATCAGCCCGTCCCCACTGCTAGGGTTCAGACCTTCCTAATGGCCAATCGGTTAAAGAGGATGAGTTAACACGTTGGCTTAATGCAGATTTGAGGGTATTACAGTCAGCAAATACAGCCGGGACCAATGGCGTAATAATTTTTTTGGTCATCTATCCCGTGACCGACGCTTGCGAGAGTTGCTTAACAACAAAGATCGCGTGCCACGGCGCTTATCCACTACACTGCAGAGCTACTCTATTTCGTTCCTATTTATTAATTGTCTCACTATTTTCAGGTATTAGGTTCGGGATCGTCTCGCGTCATAACGATATCCGCGGCCGCTCAGAGCCGTCGTTGGACATCTGATCTAGTTAAACTGTTGAAGGCACAGCCCGGTCGCGTTATACTACCGACTGATATACCACAGTTGTACCAAGAGACTTTCGGTAAACCGTTCTCGACCGTTGATTATGGTGTGTGCACACTGAACGAGCTGATGCAGAGAGTGACTCCGGTATCTGTTAGTGTTGGGGCGGACGGTACTATATCATTGCCGAGACGTACGCCTACGCCAGAAGAACGCGCGCGTACCGTACAGTTCGCTTTGGAGGTAATTTCTTGTGTTTCTTTATGGAGTTCGGTTTATACGGAACTGTCAAATATTGATTTTCAACTGGGAGGGAAAGTCAGGGAAATAAAAGATGGCCAGGGATAGTCAGATGGACAGTCAGTGAAAATCAGAGAAAAAAAATTAGGATAACCGTGAGGTCGGGGAAAAAATATATGATCTTTCTAAAATTTTTATTACTACAATTATTTTAAACCTCGTAAATTGAACATGTTTGGTTGTGTTGGTTCTTTTTACTGAGAAATATATTCAATAAGTCCATGTGTGATTCAAACTATGTTTAAGTTCTGACTTTTTCAATGATCATCATCATCAACCCATTAACGTCCCCACTGCAGGGGCTCATGCCTTCCTTAACGATGGTTAAAGACGATGAGGCATGACCCTTCACGCTGGTCCAATGCGGATTGGAGGGTATTAACGACTGTAAATGCAGCCGGGACCAACGGCTTAACGTGCCTTCCGAAGCACGAAGTAGCTCGAGATAATAATTTCTTGGTCACCTATCCTGTGATCGACCCTTGCGAAAGTTGCTTAACAACAAAGATCGCGGGCCGCGGCGCTTATCCTCTACACCACTGAGCTGCTTTGTGATTTGTGACTTTTTTAATACGGAGTCTTATCTATTACAGATCAATTGAACTAATAACTTTTCCATATTCCACAGGCCGTGGAACTTCTTTGCTACACGCCGAATTTACGCATGGAATTCTCACGGTTCGTTCCCGCTTACCACGCTCATTTTGGCCGTCAGCTACGGGTAGCCCACTACGGCTGCGTTAAACTGGTGGAGCTGTTCGAACTAATACCTGAAACTGTTGCCGTGGCGATTGAAGCTAGCGGGGAGAGAAGCGTCAGATTGGCCCCCAGTACCGCTAAAGCAGTGATGGGGCAAAGGCTGAGGGCTATCGGGGCGGTGCCGTTGACCTCCTTCCCCGCCCAATACGCTTCCCAATTTGGCGCTCCACCACAGGTGATTTTCTAATAATAATATTCTTCATTTATTGCACACGATATAAACGAGTCGTCATCGTCAGACCTGTGCAGGAGGCCTTCCTTATAGATGGTTGAGGATGGGCCACGCTGGTCCAATGCGGATTGTAGGGTATTAACGACTGAAAATGCAGCCGGGTGTAGCTCTAGATAATTTTTTTTTGGTCACCCATCCCGTGACTGACCATTGCGAAAGTCGCGGCGCTTATCCACTACGTCACCGAGCACACGATATAAGACAAGTAACAAATTAAAAAAGTGTGTTTTTTTTTCCATAGTGATGTTTCAAGAAGTTTTTGTGGTCATTGATATTTTATCGCTTGTGAACTGCTACATAAAATCATTCAGCCTTACCATCGTTGCATCGTAAATTATCGAAAAATACATTTTTGGAGACTTATTAAGCATTTAGAAAACAGACGAATAGTAATACCGTTTTTAAATGAGATACAGTAACTGTATTGTATGTTTTTACAGCCGGATGTCTTAGAAGCCCTTTCTCTAGAGGCACTGGTGTATGCATCTGGTGGATGCGTTGAAGCCGGTTTGATACGTCCACCGGGCGAATCCCCACGTTGGAGTACCTCATTGTTAGCCGCATGCGCAGTCCTATGCGCCGATAAAAGCATAGCTAGAGGATCTACGGAAGACTATTTCACTACCGCATATCGTCGATTAAGAGGTTCAGATCCCGATTTGAGGAATTTAATTAAAGCGGGCGTTATTGAAACGTCGGATCGTTGGATCAAATTGACCGCCCCATGGCGTACGGTGTGGCGTATAGCCCAAATATTATCGGACAGATCGACACCGATGACCGCTATGGATGTGTACGAGGATTACATTACACGTCACGAGCCAGTATTTCCTAGTGCCGATTTAGGTGAGTTACATTGTTTTTTAATTTGATTTCAATCCAGTACTCAAGTTTACAGAGTTGGTCATAACAAATATCTCTCTATTGATTTGTTTATGTGTTTAAAATCGATTACAAGCTGTAGCTTTTAATAGATATCTATTTTCTATGGAGTGCCCCAAGGTTCCTACTTCGGGCCTCTTCTTTTTAATATTATTCAAGACAGTGTTAGCTTTAAAATTAAACTGAATGTTTCCTTAAAAATATGCCTCTCTACAAATCTTTGTAGATTCGAGCTATAAATATATTCTTAATAAAATATTAAATCATTTCCGTTGTTGTTGGCTCGTGTTCTTAAATTGTTATACCCTTGTTTTTCCATGTGTTTGTTGCTTTGAACCTTATTTCCATGTGTTAGAACATTTATTTCCTTGTTTAGGTGCCGATAGCGTTGTTGATTTCCTGCGTCAATATCGCGAGGTATTCGTGGAAGCTAGTCCCGGTTTCTGGTTGCTGTGTGAGGGAGTTACTGTGCTCCGTTGTCGTGATCCAGATCACGTAGACTACTCTCTGTACGATACACCGCCTGGCCAAAAGGTAATGCTAACAAGTACTTCACGTTCCTAATGAAAAATGTTTAAAAATCCATTTCCCATCCCATCCCATCTTAGAGTACCAGGGACAAAGGCGATTTTTTTAAGCATTTTCCATTAAGTATATTTTTCTTCAATAACCAATTTATTCTTTTCTTCCTTAGTTGATTAGTTAGTTAAGGGGTTTGCTGACATTTGAATATATTGTGGGGTTTGTGGAGCCAAAAGTTTGAGAAATCCTGCGTAAATCTACGGGAAGCTTATCATACGCTGGCGATGTAGGCTATATTTTACGCAGGCGAAGTCCCGTGAAAACTGCGATTTCATTGTTAGTTTATCGAATAGGCCAATGCCTATATTCAATTTATTCAATAATAGGCTCTAAAACTACGGTACTGATTTTAAAATTTGTTCCACGTACTGTTGCGGTGCGGTGGTACAATGAAGGGGAAATAGCTAGTTATTGTACAAAGATTTTTTTTAATCAGTGTAACAATAAGAAATAAATAGATAGTAAGATATAAAGACGAAATTAGATATCTATACACACATTGCTATGCTAATACTTAGAGTGGCTATTAGTTAAAACAAAAGTGAAACTGGATCCGTTTTCTAATACTATTATTAATTAACAATAAGACAGCTATTATATAAATCCAGAAATATTAGCTATATTATCACAAGACAATAACAGGATCTTTATTACTGTATTAATATATATTACTCCACAGCGTCAGTATACTTTAAAATAGCAGTAAATCCATATTAAATACACCAATTACTTTAATAAATATAACAACCACTGACTGATATAACCATCCTCAGAACGACAGTCTTAGTTTGAACTGCTGCTGCTTCGTCTACGCGATAACGTATCATAGAGTACTATGTGTAGATTGCGTCTTGCAAACGGTTTTATAGGCGAAAGGTTTATTTTCCCTAGCGTGGAATTTTCTTTTGGTATTCGGTATTCGGCGTATTTGACATCTTTTTCACTATTTGTATTCAGCCGAATTATTCGGTGTACCATTTCATTGTTTCACTCCGTAAACAGACTCAAAAATAAATGTTGAATTGAACTTTAATTGCTTTTTTATTAACTTTATTGAACATAAAAAGGTAAAGGTTAAACCGAATAATATTCGGTATTCGGTTATTCGGTGGAACGACTAGTCGTCGCATCTCTTATTTTCACCAATTCAACTACCCACACACACACACACGCATGATTCGAGGATGCACTGACAAAACGTAATTTTGTTCATAGACAAATTTGAATTATGTTACAGGGATCTAGAGTGTTTGAATCTCCTATAGGCAACATTTGGTGCTCTCCTCCTGCCAGTGCGTTGCCAACTCCATCTGCATTTCTCACCCATGAAAAGCGTAAGTTATTCACTGAATTCCGAATATTGCCGTTAATTTTACAAATTTTCTATTTAGTATTCTCTTCGTCATTAGATGTTATTATCAGAGGCCTAATGGTTTAATGTTAAAATTTATCACAATCGCTTTCAATTTGACATTGACGGATATTTACGAACATCGCGCTATCTCAGGGAAGAACTGGTTAATTCTAAAATATTCTAAATAAATTTTAAAGTGAATTAAAAATGATGCGCTAAATTCAAAATACTCAAATGCCATGTTATTTGTCAGAGCGGATGTGGCGAAAACGTATAGGGATGTCGTTTTAACAAAAAATTAACATTGATGCAATAACATTGTGGCAATGTATTGTGGCAAAATAAACCAAAGATTATAATTTAAATTATATTTTAAGCTTTTACCAATTTCACCAATTTGGTTAACTATATGACTATTAAAACGACGATTATTAAAAACAAAAAGCTATTAGTTAGAGTAATTGAATAATAATCAATCACTCAAAATCCACATTGACGTAAAATGTCATATCTCTCTAGTCGCGTACTCTGACGTCACGACAATGGCGCCAAAAATTCCGGCGTTTAAACTGTTCGTAGTTGTTAGTAATTTTGGTCATTCCTTTATGTTACTAAATTTTAGTTTTTCGGTGCTGGATATTTTTTTACAGTAGTATATCGATATAAATTATCATATGAAAATATAAAAATTAATTAATTATTTATAAAAAAAATGAAAGCCTTAAATTAGAACTAACTTAATATATTTACGCTTAATTCTTCGTATTGTGACGAGTAAAAAGTAAATAAAAACACTTTTAAATCGTAGGTCGCATGCGGCTGGCAGCGCATTTCGATTCCTAAACTATTCCCACCAAAGCTACTTACTACTTAAGCGAAGATGCATTCCTCTACAATGTTTTTTTAAATGTCAAGTGAAGATTGCATGATTTCTCACGGTATATGGAAGCTGTCAAAGGATTGAAGAAGCCAGGGTCGTAACGAATTTTCATTATCTAGACTAATTAATTAAAAGTGTCCTGAAAAATGTGATGTCTATAACAATAATGTTTTAGATCGCATATATTTTTGTGTCTTTTTTAGATTAAGTAAATGGTGCATTCGTAAAATGTTATAATGTAGGTTGTCTGTTCAGGAAAACGTTGGTGTCTGTGACTTATATGGTGATCGACATATTATAACGATTAGTTTTTTCCTTTATTTTCCTAAATCTACTTATGTAAATATTTTTTTTATGTCATATATAATAAGAACTAGTAATTTCTTTTTAACATGACATCTTCAATAAGATTTATCTTTGAGATGGAAATCACTATATAATTAATTTTAATTATGCTTCAAGGCATGTTCATGATCATGGGACGTAATCAGCTAGCCTTTGTTTGTATAAAATGTTAAGTAAAAAAATCACAGAGTTTGTAAAATAGCATTTAATAATCTATACGTGTGTATAGACGTCACGTGTAATGCGTCGCGAATGATTTGACAGTTTCGTGTACTAATGTTAGTGTTTGGTGGAATTTCAATTGATTGAATTTTGTTACCATCGTCTAATTGGGGCCCAATATTATTAGTAAAATGGCGTTTTTATAAATAAGTGTCTGAATCAAAGAGCTGTGTCAAAAGGCGAAGTAATTGGTACGCCATTACGCCATCATTAAATTAAAATTAGCAAAAATTTAGTCCTGCAGGTCGATTCTCCGAATATTTATGTAATTATTGCATTTCAATAGAATCTCAACAACTTGCATTTTGCATCTACCTGAAGTTCAATATTATTATATATCTGTTACCATTTATGTAGAAATAGTAGATAGTACAATGGTAAAATGTATGTCATTGGGATTATATATAGATGCGGTTAAATTATTACGTAAACGTAAGCAGAATCGACCTGCTAGACGGATGCATTTACAATGAGCGTTTATCGAATATGATAATTGCCACAGACTATCTAGTATTAAGATTCGGCTGTTTGAATCTGCACTTGTATACTTTGTATTTTAATAAGTCTCTATTATTATGGCAAGTGTGATAGTTAATAATAGAATATATTAAAGGTTGCCTGGTCGCAGTTACCTTAAATAAAATATAGGTAACGCAATTAATATGTTCTCTTGAATCCCAGTTACATGTTTAGCGAATACGTCATTTAAAAGAAAACTATGTAGATAATAATAAAATTGTAACTGTGGCAAAGTATTTATTAACAGTGCCATAGATTTATATACGTGACGATTGAGATTGCGGCTGACTGATAGCTGCCATCCTTATTTTTTATTCTATTGTCTACGTCGTTTCATTGAAAAGGTCGTAAGTTTAATTTATTTTAATGTTGTGTATCATATATAAAATCGAAATTTGATAAAAAATAGTAGTCTATAGATTCAAGCAGCCGGAACTCATTTTGATCTTGTAGAAGGGATGTCATTTTTTGAGCATCGTGGATAATAGGGGTGTGGACGCTTATTTTTATATTTTTATTTTATAGATATACATAAATATCAGTCATATAATATTTCCCGCGGAAACGCTAACTTCTGTCACTAGGCTATGACGTCACGGCCCTCTTAAATTAATATCGTTCTTTGTATGCTTAGAGTTTAATTCTAGAATTTTTGATATGTGATGAGTATAAAATATATATTGCTTATATTATTTTTGATTTGTGATCATCGGTAATAGTATGCTATTGCCGAAATTTAATATGTTAAACACTACCAGAAAAAAAGTTTTATTTTCGTTTACTGTCTACACCCCTATTGTATCACAGACGTATAACAAATAGAGTAGTTTAGACCTATAGCAAACTATTAAAGGAAACGTCAAGATCATGGTATTATATCTGTACCTATGGATCAGGCATAGTTAAGGATAGCTATAAACAAACCGTCGAATCGTTCTGCAATGCTACCATAAGAGAAAGAGAGAGAGAGAAACAAATAGTGTGTGGCGATTATACTCTTACTAATCGGGGGACTGCTGGAGACTTGGTTTCCCTGCTCTATTTTGAAGCTTTTGCGGCACATTTCCCGTGATATCTACACGTGCGGCCAATGTTATAGAATTTACTTTGGTAAGGATGTTCACGATCATATTGCATTTTAATCACGTTTTTAAATAAATTCTTTGATAAATCTATTCTATTCCCTGAATCTTTATTGTGATTTTAAAATTTGACGTTTATATGAGATTTGAGTAGTACTTAATTTATGTTATGTTCTAGTCTTCTTTCCATACCAATAATTTTTTTTTATCAAATATTTACGTTGATTAGAGTATGTACCAGTCTTTGATAGTTATTAAATCATTATTTTTATCTTTTGACATTTATTTATTTATTCTTAGATCTAAGTCTGAATATAAAATGGGGGACTGAAACATAGACTTCTATTGAATCCAAAAGTGATATGTATGATTTTTTTTTGCCATTCGATATACAGTGTGATATATCGCAAATATTTTATTCATGATTTCTTTTACTACTGAAATGTACATATCATCTTTTATGAATCGAAGCTCAAAGTTACTTTAGGAATAGTATAAGTTAAAAAAAATTACCTTAATCATAGCTTATAACATTTTTCGAATGCGAACAAAAGTACAATAAATCATATTATGTTGATTTTTGTCGAAAATTTTATCCTTTGATATGTGATCTCGATCAAGTGCATGCAATTCGGCTTAACTGTTTATTTTTTAAATGTATATTTAGTGGTTGTTATTGTACAGAGTAATTGATTTTTGTCCTAAAGATATCTCTTTCGAATTTATGTACTTTTAGATAATATTTACATTGTATAAATGTTTGAAAATTTATTCCAAAATGCCGGGTAGATACTTAAAAAGAATCTTTTGCGACTGGCCTTAAATGTAAATATCTCTGACCACAATATTGTGTCAATTATAGAACGTTCAAAGGTTTTGTAAAAAGATATTGTGTAGTTAAGATTTATATTTCTTTAATTAAATTAGAAACGCTTGTGCCTAATGTGCAATGATATGTTTTCTTGTAAAATTTCGTGGTTCCACATTGATAGAGGAACTATAACTGATTTATTTGATTACCAATATACATGTGCAAAAATTGTAATTATAATTTTTATTGTAACATATACTTAGGCTAAATAATTACGCTACTTATCATAAGGTATAGTCTATTCCTAAGGCAAGAGAGAAAACGTATAATGAGCCAAAGTATTATGTGAGCGTCATGGTAAGTAAACGATACGTGTCGTTAACCATTGAATTCTGTATTATTTCTGCGAAGTTATACGGGACACTAAAGATCACTGATCCCATCTCGTACTACAGACAGTACTCCGCGGGAACGATACAGCGTTCTATGGATAGCAATATATGTCGTCAACTTCCAACTATTAGAGCAGACTATACGAAAAGTTTTACTTATTAATTAAATTGTAATAGGAGTAAATACATGAGATTGTTGCTAATAAAAGTTGTATGAGCAGATGATTTTTTAAATTAATATCAATTGAGTAATTTAATACTTGTAAAATTTTTATTGGTTCATAAGGTTACACAACGCATATGGACGGTGTATGTCTAAAATTTGTTAAAAAAGACTGCCGAATTATGCGACTTCCAATACATTTTTTTGTTGATTATTTATAGTTTTTAAATAATTAATCAATAAATAAATAAAATATTAAATTGCCAAATTAAATATTATAAATAAAAAGGCAATGGATATAATTTTTAGAGATAAAAAATATAATTTATATTGTTTATATAGTTTTAAATGTATATTAATGTCAAATATTATAACACGGTATAAAGTTGTTTACCGTTTGTACCATCCTATGACCGTAGTATGAACGTGACAGGTAAAAACGTATTCAATATAAAGATTTTTTTTTGTAGAACGGGTATGATTTGATTAGCGGAGGGGAACGAAGTTCGTTTTTGCGCTTGACACTTTCATAGCACGGTCAAGTTATGGCACCTTGTAAGAAGTGGAAAAATTCCTTAAGGCATTACTACTATGATAAATAAAATACGGATTTGTTGCCAATATTTCATTATTATATTAATTAATTAATATTTCAAATAGATACACAATACTACGAATTAGTGATGGAAACTTATTTATGTATATACTGTACATATTTTTGTACTTTTAATTAAATAATTGGTATAAAACTCGTAATAAATAATTAATTTGTACTTTATTAATGTGGAACATCGGATATCTAAAACTCTTTATAATACTATTATAATAAATTTATGCAGGCAGGTCCTTTTATTTGTCAGTATGATTTATTTGTATGTATTTTATATTAATTAATTTAATTAACTGCCAGTCCGCATTTCGAGATGATATTAATTGGACAATAGTTGAATGTAACACAGAATATAGAAGTAATTCCATGCTGAGTGGCTGAAAGATCACCACAGTTATTACATCAGCAATGTAAAGTATTTTTTTTTTATTTTTGTGTCAATTGACACAGTATCCGTAATTATTAATATTATTGCAGTAGGTGGTAACCTATTAAGCAATTTTTAAATGAATATTACACAATAAAATGTTTCGGTGATCTTTCAGGAACAAAGTGCTAATTTTAATGTGACCGTTACTAAATGTTCTAAGTATATGTAAGTTCTTAAATGTAATTGCGTTCAAAATTTTCAGAATGTCTGTCCATATTTTGAAATTGTAGTTGTAAATCAATAAAATATATTGAATTTCTTAAGACTGTAGCAGATACATTTAAGTACTTTGTGAAAGGAGAATCCAGTTTTTACTTTTTTTTTGTGACCAATAGTTAAATGTTTAAGTTAGGCTATAAGTATTACAAGTACAGTAAGGGAAGATGTAAGATTGTAGTGTTATTTATCCTACGTCTTCATTATTCTGTGATCATTCAGTTCTTGTTGTAGTTCCAACAGTAGAATCAATGTATGTGCGAAAGTAGTCCCTTGTCAGTATTGCATGAAAAAAAATGAATGTAGTGTTGGAAAATAAATGTTATTTTTTGAGAAACCTGGTTTTTAATGAAAAGTCTGTTCGTCCACCTAATGTTGCTGAAGTAATTCCTAGAGAATACTTATCAAAGTACAGTAAGGGATAGATACGCTTTGCAATCGCGTTAGGTGAAATACGTGTATATCATAAAGTTTTGGCTTTGTTTAGTCATAAACCCTTACGAATGAAACAAAATCAAAACTTTAAGTATCTCCGATAAACATCACAATACGTCAAATTAAATTATCCCTAATTTTTCTGTCTGAATGTTTAGAGAAAATGGGGATCCCCGCAACCAATGAAAAAATATTTCTCAAATAAGACAAGTTTTTAAATTATTGATTTATCAAGTCCTTAATTTAGACATGCACTAAATTGATACAAATAGCCAAGTTACGTAGTTGTGGAGATTAAGGACGTCAGTAGTGTACTGGTGCCCACAAGTATCTGGGTTAGCACTTGGATAATCGTCAAACCAAAATACAAGGACTTATTACTCGTATTTTCGACATCCATATCATAGGCAAATTGATTTAACACTACTTTTTCCATAGATTTGAAATACCTACTTTCTATACATTTATTAAGCTGTCACATGTTTTTTTTTTAAAGTCATGTCGGGTCTATGTCCCTTTCGTTATAATTTAAATTAGTTTTTGCTGAAAGTAGCATAATAACCTCTTTTTATATAGACGCTTTGGCAATGCGTCATTTGTAAATAATATTGTGAGATTATATCAGCTGTCAAAACTCGAGATAATTGTGAAGCCACAAAAATTATCAGCCTCGCAATTAAGATATTTCACATAACTAGAGCTTTATTTAATTTTAAGAACAAAATTGGACATAATTCTTTTAGCAGTTGATATTAAATTCTACCCCAAAGTGTAACACTTTCAAATCAAGTAGAGAAATTGGACAATTTGTAAAGCAGTTGTGCTGTTGACTGAACATCTAGTTAATGACGAAATCAATTTTACCCTCATATTTCCTTGTTTTAAATGCTAAATATGATGGTGCCAACTGTCAACCTAAAATCAATCATCATAACCCTCTTAATATACTTTGCTGTAGCATGGACCTACCCTATAAAATAGAATCATAAGAACCACAGCCAACCAAATGGGCAGGAGCGCTTGTTATGTAAATAATAGAAAGTAAGAAAAAGTCGCTAAAATTTATTAACTTTAATATTGCATTTTACAATATCTACTTAGATATAAGAGTACAATTGATTCAAGCAATTAATATAAATATTTACTTAGTTTGATCGGAAAGCGGTCCGTGACGTCTTTCCCAGATCATGCGATGTTTTTGCTTCATGTAGGCCTTGCGAGCATCACCATAAGCTCCTAAATCGCCATCTGTAATAGTAAATTTTGTATTAGAATGATTATAATAAATTGTTCAACAGAAAATAAGCCTTATAATAGGCTAAATAGATATGAAAGGCTGAATAAAAGTAATTATTATAATCACAAAAGTGGATGGACAGTTCCTAAATAGAATAAAAAATACAGTAGATTCCAGATATAACAACCCTCAAACAACTGACAACAGTATGGTACTAATAAAACCATATATTTATTATATAATCCGATTGAGATCAGATTCTACGATTGGGAAATATTGAGACAGCTTGTTTTATTAAAAAAAGTGATAGAGACCGGTTACATTATTCCTGGGGAAGTTTTTCCCCAGGGGCAATACTTTCCCATTTTCTACTATATCATTTAAAACTTTATTAAAATCTGCTCATAAGTAAAATATATGTTATACCATTACAAAACTTTGTGAGAATGGGAATATGTGGGAAAAGTTACAGATTTTTTATTATTATGGTTTCTATTATAATTTTTTTAAATAGCCTCTATTCCAAGTGTGACAAAATTCTATCACCTGTTTTAATCTGTCTACAAAAATATTTGAAAATAAAATAATAGTTTACACAGACTTTACACATACAGTATAATATGGAAGTCATGATAAGATACTGACACTTGATAAACCATGCTTCTTCAGCATCTTTATATTTTTCCCAAAAAGGTTTGCAGATTGTTAGATGATCAGGTCTCTCATACAACATACAATCTTCGTATCGTTGGCGGAGGATGCCCAATATTTCTGAATCAACAGCTCTGAAAATATTTAATAATGTAAAAATTAAAAAGGACTTGCATATACATACACATTAACAAATTCGTTTCCTGTAGGCGCTAGTTTTATTAAGGCTTACTTTGTAATATTTGAGATGAAATTAAATGGAGCAATAGAAACTCCTATAATACTTTGCTTGAAGTAATGATAAGTTTATAATGGGTAACATGAAACTCATTAGAATATTGAAATTTCATATGGTAGTTTTGTAGATAATAATTATTTAAGTATAATTTAATCAAGTACATCACTGTAGAAAATTATAGTGAAGTAAATTTGACATGAAAAATTTCTAACCTATCCCGTTTGAACTGAACATTTGCTTCAAAATCGCATAGAACGTCGTCGGTATAGCACTGGTCGATAGTCGGGACTCGACGATATTTCTGATGGTACCAAGGATACTTTTTCTGATTCGGCTCTACTACCTTGTCTGCACCAAGAAAAAACTGAAATTAGTGTTCTTATGTAACATTAGTTTACCAACATAGATTTTATGGATTACGTACCATGAAACCATGTTACGGGTGCATCTATTGTTCTGTAAAGAGCACTTGCAAACGCTCTAAATAAATTATCATCCGGTTCTTTTTCTTGGACCATTTTAATGTTGAAATTACAAATAAAAACAGCCCACTTACGTAAAAAAATGATCAAAATTTTGGTGTCAGTCAATGTCAAGTTGATATTTTTGTTATTTTAATAATGAAAGCAAAGGAATTTAGTTTCTATAGTCCTCAAATTCTATTTTCGATATATCGTAATAGGTTACACTATTTATCTGCATAATTTTTATTCATAAAACATCATTTATTTTTATTTTGCAATATGATATCATATCTAGCTATAAACCACAATACATTTTATGATTTTATGCTAAAAGTTGTGTGTGTATGAGGGATGTGTACTAAAATCACATGAAATTAACTAAAAGTTGTATTTTACGTCATAGTTGTGGCGACTGATACATAGCGACATCTAACTCATCGCAGTAACATCGCCACAACAATCAATAGCGAGAAGACTAGCATCGTCATAGCCATCGATAGCAACACCTAGCTCGGAGGGAGACAATTATCCTTTAGTCTCCCTGGCCAGTTGTCTCCATCACCACAATAGGAATACCAACTTTACAACCTAAAGGTTCCTAAATAGTCTTTGGTCATTACAACAATATATTTAATAACCGTGACATATGAGATCTTACTGTACCTACTAATATTACGAACAAAAGCTTACTATCTTACTAGTCTGTCTTGAAACAGTAGTATTTGTACGATTAGCAACCATAAGTTGGATTAAGTTCCTTTTTGAACCACATAGTCTGCAACAGTATGACGCTTGCTGCGTATGGTCTAGTGATCTAATAGAGTACCTCCTCGAGAGTAAATTCTTCCACTCAGAGGTCATCTCTCATTTTCAATGCCTATTTCGATCTCTGCTACTTTCCGACCGCGTGGAAGGATGCAATCGTAATAGGCATCCCTAAACCGGGCTATAGCAAGGTGTATACTCTCTTGCATGAGGGAACACCTCTTTGATCCCGAACTGGATCTCATGATCCCCCACCAATTCGGCTTCAGAGCCAAACACTCCTGTCCCCTGCAGTTTTATCGCATCGTGGAGATATACTCCACCGGTTTCATCCATAAAACACGGAAAATAGGTTAGAAAGGCGATCATGCATCCTTTGTACGAAAACCGATGTCACCAGTCTTGCCCCACTTTTAGACCGCCGTACTTAGAGTAAGTACTCAGTAGAGGGCTATTAAGCGTGGCACCGTAAGGGACAACAAATAAATCATCAGTGTTACTAGGTAGTTAAATGTTCCTCGATTATGGGGAGATATTTTGTTATTAGCAAAGGAGATATGTAGAAATGTTCAGCAACTATCTACTTTTCTGCGATTTCACCAAATTATAGCTGTAGTCAACCACGTATGATGTAACTTCCCATGAATTAAAGAATTAGTAATAGAGGAACATTTTTTTATTGTAGTAATATTGATACACTATTTATCATCTTAAATTCAACCAAAATTAAAAAAAAATGTATATAGATAATAAAAAAAACCGCTGAAAGGAGAATAACGTACCTATTTAATGATAAAATTATGTTTAGAAAGGCAAATAAGAAACATTGTGATGATGTTGGGCTAACGTCAGTCCAGCAGCGCCACTGTATGTTTACTCAATAGCTGTTAGAAAGACCATTTTTTAAAACCTTTAAAGAGACTTGACGGTTATCGTTAGTCCACCACGTTACTTCGCTCGAATTCTAGTACCAGTCCCAGAAGATTTCTTATCTCAAACTAAAATATCTATAAACTAGCTATTATATATATATATATATATACACGCGACTTCGCTTGTGTAAACTGTAGCCTATGTCAACTGCGTATGGTGTAGCTACCCGTATGTGAAAAAGTTTTTAAAATAAAATCTTAATAAAAATGCTTAAAAAACCACTTTGTCCCTGGTAGTTTGAGATTGATCAAATATAATAATCGGTCCAGTGGTTTCGGAGCCTATTCGATGTAAAAAAATAAACAATAATAAATGAAATAAAATAATAAAACCTTTCATTTTTATAATATTAAGTATAGATAAATAAATATAGGTACCATAATACCCAGAACTTCTAGACCCCAGACAATAAAGGAAAGTTAATTTTCAACATTTTTTGTTTTTTAATAATAAAAATTAGTGTAAATCATTACACCAGCAGACCTATTTTAATCTATTCTGCCCATGTACGCTGTTGAGTGTGTGAGATTTATTAAGAGCTAGGTATGACTTATTAGAAAAATCAATTAATAATTATAATAAAAATAATTATCAATTACTAAACCAATATTAAATAAAGTTAGAGGTTGGGTGAAATCAAAAAGGGTACTAAAATAAAAAGCATTTTACTTCGTTTTCACAAAAATTTTACAAATAAATAGATATATCACATACTGAAAATAGAAATTATGCTACTTATAAGTTAAAATAAACTTACTCGATCACAAAAAATAAATAAATGGTCTACTTAACTGCAGCAAGTACACCAGAGGGTGACACAAAAAAAGGGGCCGTGACAAGAGCTGTTTTGGCCTTTTATAGCTATCCATCTCCCGTTCCGACATCCAATCCATATTACCGCCATTTTATCAAAACAAAATTCAAATCTCGATTTTATTAATGAGAAGTAATTAAAAGGTCAGCCATAAAAAAATTTGGTTAGCCACAAAATTCAGTATTTTAATCGTTTGATCAGCATTTAAAGATTTTGTATGCAAGAAAAATAAAACAATCGGCAATCCTTGTTTCGCAAATAATCTTGATAATGATTAGTAATTTAATCATATACAGTCAGCTTAAAATAATATGTGTATGTCAAATAAACAGTCTATCCCCAAAATAACTACTTGATCAGAAAGATTCAGGATTGGTCAGCAAGAAATATTTGTCCGGTTAGCAGTTCATTTGATCGGTTTGCGTATTTAAATCATGGTTAGAAGAATAACTAATTGGTTTGCATTTTTATTGAAAAGTCTGCAATGTACGTTAAAAGTGGGCAGAGCAAGAGTAGTCGCATGATACTAGTAGCCAATCGCGTGCGTGTATTGTCATTCGGTGTCTATGCGGCGATTAGTAGCTGTCAAATTACAGTGATAACAACTTGTTTTATGTTAATTAGTGTGAATTTTGATATTTTGCGAGTGTTATATGAGTATTGTAGGTAGCAGCCGGGACCGACGGCTTAACGTGCCCTCCGAAGCACGGAATCATCTTACTTTCGGACAATCAGGTGATTCAGGCCTGCAATGTCCTAACCAAACTGGGAAAAACTCACAAAGAAATATTTGAGAGTGTCCCCACCGGGAATCGAACCCAGTACCTTCGGATCGAGAGCCTAACGCTCTAACCACTAGGACACGGAGGCAGTTAATTTAATTAGTTAGTTTACTCTAAATACCCATTCATTATTTTTGTAAGGAATGCGCCCATTTTGCGCCAGTCATTATTGCTATTTTTATATGCTTCACAAAATTAGATTAGTTGCTTCCCTCTAAGTGCTGTTCAAAATTGTATTTAACATGCGTCACTCATTGCAGCTTATATGATTATTATGCTAATAAAAATAATTACAGCCATCCAGAATGTAAAAAATTGTCGATTGATTTGATATTGTTTGCTAGCCATGATCTGCTGACCAATAATATATTTCAACTGACAGAATACATTTTTCTGCTAGCAAAAATGTGAATACTATGCTAACCCTTAATTAATCTAAATAAGTATTCGCATGTTTAAATATATTTAAAAGCCATTAAATAAAATTTAAATACTAAATACATACTAATATAAATTAAAATTGCCTTTTAATTGGTTATCCAATCACAAATTAGAGCACAATTTACTTTGTTACAGTGAACTCTAATCACACAAAAATAAAATGATACATAATTATTATATTTTTATACAAAATAAAAAAAACATATTTTAGTTAGTTTACAATACTCTTAAATAATAGACAAGAATTCTTAAAAAAAAAGAAACATAACCGATATTATTTCACAATATATTTTCTAGCATTTCTTTATTATAAAGAAACAAAACAAATCATAATCAGTGTATTTCTAAATGAATAGCACAGATAATACTTAAAGATTAGATTATGCCACAAATAAGTTATGATATTTATGAAGAATATGATCTGTGGTTCTGTCTACACACACTAATAACCGATTTGCGACTAAATTATGAACATCTCATATTTTTATACAACAATTATTAACAAGTGCAAAAAAACTATAACTACAAGAACAAATCAAATATTTAAACTGACATAGTAATATTTAAAATTTCCTAGCAAGTATAAAGATATAGGATTAATTTTAAATGAAGGCAATTATTATTTATTAATAACATTAAAAGTTTAAAACTTAGACTATCAGTATCTAGTATAAATTATGTCTATTTTATTTTTCAAAATGTCCAGTTTAGATTCTCAAACTAAAAAGGTTTTACACGGTTAATTAATATTGTATGAAACCAACAAAATAATTGAAAAGATATGAAGATAATGCATTTTATATATTTTAGGCATTGTGTTTCAAAGTATTAACTGCTTACTACTAACATACAATATCTTATAGTTTCAGACTTTTCTATACTTACCATTCTTATTGTTACATTGTGTATATCCCTTTGAGGAAGGTATTATAAAAAGTGGACTTGTTAAGTAATAAATACCTTACTTGTATAATAAGTATTTAACTATTATATCTATTTAGTAAAATCCTTATTATATATTCAATGTAGTTTGTCTTCCTACATTTAAAAATAAATGTTTTTCAAAATGCATTGAACACACCCTGGCATGCCTTGAAGGCTTACAATTTGGTCTTCGGCAAGCTTCAATCCAATTTTGAAGTTCAGTTACATTTATCAATCAATTTTGAAGTTCATTTTCATGTAATGAAAATCTAAAATATAAACACAATTACTATAACACTTTTTTTTTAAATTTCATATTTTAATTTGGAAAATTGAGGTCATCATTATGATAATAATATGATTGTCATATGGAATAACAATATTTTTTGAAGAAAAACACATTTGGCCGAGATTTATTGATAAAATTAGTTATATTATCTACTATAAACTCAAACATTTCTAAC